GGGACATTTCCGTCCGTTATTTAATTTACAATTACATGTTAAACCTTTTTCTCAATGTGATTTAATTAAGCAAACTAATTACATTAAACAGTTGAATGTTCCTTCATTACATTGAAGGATTAACCAAAATTGAGTTAAAGATTAAATGATATAATTAATGATTGAATTAATTAATTATCTAAGTTTTGAATTTCCACTTTGATCTTGAATACATTTACATTTTGAATTTAAGTAATCAAATTCATCATCAATGCATCAAATAATTATCGTTTTTTATTTTTTAATTTACTTTAATTAAATTAATGGTAAATTCTAAATATGATGAAAGGAAGAAGAAGAAAGAAAGAAAAAAATAGAAAGAATGAAAAGAAAACCAAATTTCCAAAATGAAGATGTGTTACTCTTGGTGATTTAAAAGCGGGATTTTTAAACCACATAAATTTTTAACGTTTTAATCTAATCTTTTTTTAGATAAATTAATCTTCTAAATGGTGTTTTTTTTATATAGAATTATAATGCAGCTTATCTCAATTCAGATTAAAGTGAATCCTTATAATACCCCTTACCCTTCGGGTCTGGGGGCAAAGAAAACAGGAGCGAAAATAAAACAAATATTACCAAGAGGACAAAGAAAATGAAACAAAAAATCATAACCATTGCCGCCATGGAGCTGCTGCCATCTGGTGCCCCCAGACCCGAAGGGTAAGGGGTATTATAAGGATTCACTTTAATCTGAATTGAGATAAGCTGCATTATAATTCTATATAAAAAAAACACCATTTAGAAGATTAATTTATCTAAAAAGATTAGATTAAAACGTTAAAATTTATGTGGTTTAAAATCCGCTTTTAAATCACCAAGAGTAATACATCTTCATTTTGGAAATTTGGTTTCTTTTCATTCTTTCTATTTTTCTTTCTTCTTCTTCTTCATCATTGACAACAATAATCTCTTCCTCTTTACAGATCCATTCACTTCTGCTGGTGGCGAGAAACCATTCCAATAGAAGATAATTTTCACTTCCGACATTCTACCAGTAGATGAATCACCTAACAAACAAATTATGAGACAAAACAACAATTAAAAAGTGATTAAATGATTTAAAATAAAACAAGTGAAGGAGAGTTTCCTATGGAAAAAAAACCCCAGACCCGACTGGCAGCTTGTTTTGCTTTTAAAAAACCGCGATTTACGAATAAATAAAAATAAACCACTAAAATCAAATATTGATGAAAATTAGAATGCTGATGAAAAAATGATGATGTATTAAATAAATTAACACAAATGAATTGATCAATTTAAAGAAATTGATGAACCAGTTCAAATAATTTCAAAATTGAACTTAAATGAATTCAACTCACTAAATAATTAAACAGGAAGGGACAAATTCAGACAGAAAAATTAACAATCATCAAATATAAAACAATAAAGAAACATTAAAAATATAAAAAAAGATTGTAGTAAAACGAATTAAAACGGTACCACTTTTCTGGATTAAAGCGACAAATTCAAATTAATAATGCATTATATTATATCAAATTTATAGTTTATTGTATATTAACAATTAATATAAATTTATATTCGTTGACGAAGATCTTCTCGTATTGCCATCAGCATTTTGTTCATGCAGATGTTACTTGCATCCAGAACTTTGACATAGCTTCAGGGTAGAAACTATGGAAAGCTGAGTTTTGTATTATTACCAAGACATTTAACGTAAATCGTAAATTTAAAAGTTATGCTGTGGTTGTCAATCGTGATAAAAAATCTTTTCGATCAACGAGTCTGATAAAATATTAAACTCCAATTTGACCTTCACCTTGATCGCACAGAAACAAGAATCCTATGAATCATTATTTGTGATTAAAATAGATGACCTTCAAATTCTTTACTTTGAAATGTTTTTCGGTGAGTAATGGATCATCTGTATAATAAATCATACTAAAATTTACAATTAACTTGTAACGATCCGTTGACCTTCGTAAACATGCGTAACAACACGAGTGAATTTAAATATTTCATTAGATACACAAAAGACATAACAGAAACGGAATTCAAATCAATACACAAGACAATTTAATTGTTACAAAGTGTAATCTAAATCACTAATCAGTGTAATTAACATCAAACTACTCTCCAATTTAGTTCAACTATCCAACCTAACAATGTTTTCAAATTGTAATTGATGAGAATGAAATTTTTTTCATCGAACGACAATGTATTAATGTTTTTGTTTCCATTGATTGTTGAAAATTAAATGTGTAAAATATTAAATTTACAATTTATTTCCAATGAAACTCATTATACTTTCTAATTAATCAGGTACAGTGAAGTCCGGACCATCAGCATCAAAATCATATTATATCTTTATAACTCTATCATCGTCATAATCAATATGATATTCAACATCAAAATTCAACATTAACAACGGAAATCCTACACATCTAATTTATCATTACTTCAGTGAATTAAAATTTATCAGTTGGATTTGATTAAGAGAAATTCACATTCAAAATGAAAGTGAACTATTAATCCCAATAAATACTGATTCTTTTCTGCATTAAATTCTTATTCTACTCTGCAAGTTTCCAAGGGTTAACTGTAATTTATTTTGACGATAAGTCGAAGAGCAATTCAAGGCCAAAGGTTAATCCAATGACACCTTTAGATTTACTGTAATCAATTATATCTTGGAATATTTTGATCATCTCATTTTTATCAAATTCGTTGATTGTTTGCTTAACATAGTCGCTCAATTGTTGAACAGTTGATTTTTTGTTATTCAAGTTTAAATCTTTTGGAACCAATTGTAGTGTTGCTAAGGCATAAATGATGAATGGTAATGTTTTGATTGTTAATTCAAATGGTTTTGGATTGATTTTTAGTATCTTTGTAATTGTAATTATGGTTAAAGTAAATTTCTCATCAAATCCAAATTGATCCGAGGTGAATTTTAATCCAGTTGGAATCATCATTCCCCTTTTAATCCATAATGGATAGAAAACTTTAATTCCAATTAATTAATTTTTCTGGTTTCTTCTTTTATCTTCCTCTTTCTTTTTTGCTCTCTTTTTCTGGTCATCAGGAAGGAAAATATTCTCTGGTCACTTGTTGGCCAGTTTTGATCTTCTAATTCCAATAATTGATATTTATTCAATTCTTTTTATAAAGAAAACTTTCGATTCGATTAACAAACAAAAATCGAAATTAATTATGAATCAATTAGAAAAACAAAAATTCGATTGACAATTAAAATTACAACAATTAAGATTAAAGGCAAATTGTTCACAATGTTTGATGAATGTAAATTAATCTACACCAATAGTAGACTTTGAGTAATTTTGATTGTGAACAATTGAAATGATTAACCGATCCGATTGTCCGATATCATTGATTTGGATTAATATTGAAGATTTGAATTATCGTACAATTGGTGAACAGCGTTGATGTTAATCTCAACTGAATTACGGTAATCACTAATCTCTTGGTAGAATTCAAATAATGAATTCTCAAAATCAATAGCAACTGATTTAAGGACAAAGTTATCTAATTCAGATGGAGTCCAACTTTCTATTTCAAATGCATCATGTAAAATTAAACAAGAAAAATAAGATGATTCGTATTTGTGTTTAGATCTAAATGATAAAATGTTATTATTTAGAACTAATTTAGACAGAATAGTTTCAAATATCAAATTAACATTAATTACTTGTACCCAATAATTAATTTCAATCAAGACAGGTTGAATTTTTAATTAAGTGATATTCTATTCCTCAATTGTAATGTTATCCTCAGAATAATGAACATTGTTATGCAACCACCTCAAAGCATCACAATTTTAATTGCGTTCAGAAAAATTGTTGATCAAAATCACGATTCTTGTAAAATCTTTTTTCGAGTAACAATACAAATTCAGAAGCTTTAGGGAGAATATTGACAATATCAGTTAAATTCTGCGGAAAATAACAAATATCACCTTTAAATTGATTAAGTCTTTGTTTCCGTTTAAAACATATCATCAGTTAATCATTGATTACAATTAAATTTTAAAGTTGATGACCGTCAAGGCTGGAAATTGATTAGTTACAATTAACAAAAAGGATTTAATTGTTTAGGGTTGACCTTTTACTATTAATAAACAAACAAGAAGAGAACAAACAATTTAAACAATTAATCAAAACAATGGAAATTCAATGATAATAGAAATTTTAATTCTAATTATATTATTCTGGACTAATTATCATTTAAATGGGACATTTCCGTCCGTTATTTAATTTACAATTACATGTTAAACCTTTTTCTCAATGTGATTTAATTAAGCAAACTAATTACATTAAACAGTTGAATGTTCCTTCATTACATTGAAGGATTAACCAAAATTGAGTTAAAGATTAAATGATATAATTAATGATTGAATTAATTAATTATCTAAGTTTTAATTTCCACTTTGATCTTGAATACATTTACATTTTGAATTTAAGTAATCAAATTCATCATCAATGCATCAAATAATTATCGTTTTTTATTTTTTAATTTACTTTAATTAAATTAATGGTAAATTCTAAATATGATGAAAGGAAGAAGAAGAAAGAAAGAAAAAAATAGAAAGAATGAAAAGAAAACCAAATTTCCAAAATGAAGATGTGTTACTCTTGGTGATTTAAAAGGGATTTTAAACCACATAAATTTTTAACGTTTTAATCTAATCTTTTTTTAGATAAATTAATCTTCTAAATGGTGTTTTTTTTATATAGAATTATAATGCAGCTTATCTCAATTCAGATTAAAGTGAATCCTTATAATACCCCTTACCCTTCGGGTCTGGGGGCAAAGAAAACAGGAGCGAAAATAAAACAAATATTACCAAGAGGACAAAGAAAATGAAACAAAAATCATAACCATTGCCGCCATGGAGCTGCTGCCATCTGGTGGAAAAGAACAAAACTCTGACATTTCCCTCTCTTTGAAAATGTTGACCGAGAAAAGAAAATTAATTTAATTGAACAATCAAATTGATTGTGGTTTAATTGACTGAATGAATTTTCTCTTTTCAGTGAACATGAGATGATTTAGATTCTTCCAGTGAATTGAGGATAATTTTCTTGATGCAAAGTGTTAATTGTGTCCATTTAAATGACCAGAATTTTGTTTGTTTGAAAATTCAAACAACCATTTGTTTACATTTGTTCATTCATTTAATTTAATTGTTTTTAGAATGGTCTTGATTAATTACCGATGGTATTATGACTATTTCTAATTACTATTGTTGCAGTTTTATGATTGTTAATTACTTGGTGCAAAATTTATTTCTAAAGAAAATCAACTTATCAGCTGATTGATTTTACTATTTGCTTGTCACTTTGTTTACAGTTCAAAGTATTCAACTGATAATCTGTTTGATTATCAATAGATTTTAGTTAATTACTTGTGTGATTTTTGATTTGCTATTAATCTTCTTTATTTTGTTCTCTCTTTAATTTCATTTTTAATCTGTGATCAATTAAGTAAACATTTTCTCTGGTTTTCTTTGACCCTGAGACTTGAGAGTCACCAAGTGAGGAGATTGAACAAGAATCACTTTTGGAAACAAGAAAGTGAACCAAGAGGCGTTAATCAAATGGTTCAACTGTGACAATCAATTTATTGTCTTGTCTCTTTTTTTTCATTTCATTCATTTAATCTCATCCATAAGCTACCCCTTAAGTACGCCCTTGATTTAATTGTTAATTGTGTATCCATTTTGTGACCAGTGAAAAGTAAAGAGTTTCAATTAGAGAAGAAGAAAAAAATCAAATCTCTTTGTTTTCCTTGTGACAACTAACACATCAAATGATATTCACCATATTCTTTCCGGTGTAACTTTTCCTGTTCGCAATTAATGACAATCAGATTAACATCGTTCTTTCTGGTCACCAACAATTAATTTGCTCTCCAACAAATTCTTATCTGTGATGGTCAATCAAGGCCTCAAGTGATATCAATCATATTCTCTGGTTGTTTTTTTCCTTCTTCTATTTAGCCTTTTAAAATTTTCTCTTTTGTTCTTTTCTCTTTTACAACATTTCTTTTTCTCTTTGTGTTTCAATTTCTCCATCTTTTACTTTCATTTTGTGATAACAATTATATTCTAATAATATTTTAAAATGGATGAAAGTAGTGACCAATGTAAGTATTACATTAACTATTCTCTTCTAATGACCAGTGACTAATTTTTCTTTTCTTTTCTTTTTGTTCTATTCTATTTTAGATCCCATTCTGGAGAGAAATTATGTCTCTTTTTGGGAGAGATTATCCAATCCAAAATATTCTTTACATCGATATATTGTTCTATGTGTTTTATGTCTCATCAATTTAGGTAATTATCCAATTTCCTTTCGTATATTTCATATATAAATTCATCACTCATAAAGTGACATTGTAACAGTCTCTTAATTTTTCATTATCATCTCTCTTTCTCTCTCTCTCTGTCCTCTTTAGGAAACTATTATATCTATGATAATCCTGGAGCACTTTCAACTGAGATTATCAGAGATTTGGGTGTCACCACTTCTCAATATACGACATTATATTCACTCTACTCTTGGCCTAATGTGATCCTTGGTCTTTTCGGTGGTTATCTAATTGATAAAGTCATTGGTCTTAGAATTGGAACTCTTGTTTTCTCCTCCATTGTTTGCCTTGGGCAATTAATTTTCGCTCTAGGAGCTTTTCTTAATGCTTTTCCTCTCATGCAAGTGGGCCGATTTGTTTTCGGTCTTGGAGGTGAAAATCTTTCGGTTGCTGTTAACGCTTATGCCGTTAGTTGGTACAAAGGATCTGAGTTAAATATGGCCTTTGGCTTAATGATGTCAATCTCTAGGTTGGGTAGTACTTTCAATTTTAACACTATGGTTCCAATCTACAACTATATTCAAAATTCATATTCTGGTTATAAGTGCCTTGGATTAGCTTTACTTGTTGCTAGTCTATTTTGTTTCTTTTCTCTTATCATGGGCGTTCTTATGGCCTATTTTGATCGTCGAGCTGAAAAAATTCTCAAAAAAGAACCACCTAAAGCAGGAGAAGAAATGAAATTCCAAGATATCCTTCATTTCGGTGTAGATTTTTGGATGGTCTCCGGAATCTGTGTTCTCTATTATCTAACAATTTTCCCCTTTATTAGTCTTGGAACGTGAGTTATCATAAATGTTGACACTTTATTCGTGACTTCTAATCTTCTAATATTTCTCTTTCTTTCTTTTAGAATATTCTTTTTGAGGAAATTTGGTGTTACTGAGGCAAAAGCCGATCAAATCAATAGCTCTGTTTACACTATTTCTGCCGTAATCTCACCAATTCTTGGAATTATCATAGATAAAGTTGGACGAAGCATCTTTTTCGTTTTCCTTGGAACCTGCGTAACCCTTTTGGGTCACAGTTTATTAGCTTTCACTTTCGTTAACCCCTGGGTCGGAATTATTTGCTTAGGATTAGGTTACTCAACTATTGCCTGCGCTCTTTGGCCAATGATTCCCGATATTGTTCCAGAATTCAGACTAGGAACAGCTTATGGTGTAGTCCAATGTGTCCAGAATCTTGGATTAGCTTTAGCTAATATGGCCGCAGGTCAAATTGTCGATTCACTGGGTTTCCTTGCATTAGAAAGCTTTTTCATTATTTCACTCGTTCGTAAGTTACAAGACAGAAACAAAATAGAATCAATAACTATTTCAAGCAATCAATTAATCACAAAAACTTTCACTTTCATTTCTACAGTGTGTCTTATCCTTATCATCTTCCTATTCCTATCCAATTTTAACAAAGGTGGACTTCTCAACATCTCTGCCAAAAAACGTAAACAATTAGCTGAGGCTAAAAGGTAAGCAATTAATTATTCTTTCTAAAGTATTTTCTTCTAATAATTAATTTCTGTGTGTTAATTATTACAAGTAAATACTTTACCGAGCAATTGGATCTCATCGTTTTTTTAATGATGATGCAGAATGTCTAGTTAATTGTAACTTGATTATCATCAGCAGTTTAATGTTTTTGCTTACACAATGATAACAGTCAATTGTCCTTTCAAACATTCATGATTAGATGACTAATATTAATAGAAATCAAATTTGCTAAATACAATTTCAACTCACCTTTGTTTTGAAACTCAATTGACTGATGATCATAAACACGCCATGTTAGTAATCATCATAATCTTGATTAAATTAGATCAAGATTTGATTACTTTTATATTGTGTCATATCCCAAATGCTAAGTTTTTATGTTTTATTATATTTGTTTGCTTTTGTTTATTTAGTTAGACTTTTGATTCAATTACTCAACGTGAATTAAAATTTTGTTAAAAGATGATTAATCAATTAGGAATGATTCATTGATTATTAGAGAGTAAATTGTTTTGCAATATTATTCATTGAGAGATATTAATCAAATTTTACTAATTATTATTTACGTTGAGTTGATTGTTTCATTAATTATGTATATGAGATCCATGATTATCTTGTTAGAGGGTGGAAAATATTAAATTGCATGATTGAATTGATAATGTACCCTGTATATCAAACCCACTCTGCCAGAATGAGAAGCGATTCAGAAATTGTTCTGCTGATTCCAATTGCTTGGTTGAGATCTTCATTAAATCATTAAATCAAATTTAACAAACATCGTTAATCATCAAATAAAACAAATGATTTACAATAATAATAATAACACCAAACAATAAATCAAGAATTGCCGATGAAGAAAACCAAAGACAAGATGAACTCATGGTATCTCCTGATGATGGCGATGGGCCGATTGCCGTTGAGATTTCAGGTCACGATGAGAGTACCCGACGACGATACCATTCCAAGATTGGAACTCAGGTAACAATTAACTGACAATTTGTCTGTGGATGAACAAAAAGATAACTAATCTTTTTATCGTTGATTGTTTTCCCTCTAATTAGGAGACAAGTAGTTTGGAAGAGGCTCAAGCGATTCGTGATCAAATCTCTGGTCCATCCTATTGAAACTTAATCATGTTTGTTTTAATTTTGACCTCAACAATTAACTATTCACAACGTTGGAGATCAATCGACCAAAGGACCAAACAATTGACTACATTTAAAGTACAATTTAACTGCTACTACTATTTATGTGTGTGTGTTGGTTAATACAAATTATGATCATTATTATTACAATTAACTAACTATTGTAATTGATATTTGCTTTCAATCATTAGCTAAATAACTAATCTTATTTAATTTGTTTTACAAATTAAACTTGAGTTAAATCAAATGAAACGAAATAATCAAATGATTATTGATACAATTAAATCAATTGTTGGTTAGAAAATTAAATATCAAAAGAAATGGTAAAATTTTTACAATTTAGAAACAAAATTGATTTAATTTTATTTATTTTACATAATTAATTTAAGCAGTAAAACAAAATCAATTAATTGTATTTTTCATTGTATTAATTTTTGAAAATCAGATTTCATTGAATTGATTACAATAAAAATCTGATTATTAAAAGATAAATTAATCAATTGAATAACAATTAAATTACAATTATAAATAAAATGAATATAACAAAGATAAACCAGATCGTTAATAATTAATTTCTCATTTATAAGAACAACAATTAAAAGGCATTTGGTTAAATTTGGTATCTGATTGATATGTAAATTGTTACCAACACAGAATATGCTTAATTAATATGATACAATATACTAATCAGTTGAAGGTTAAGCGAAGTTAAGTAAATTGTTATACTGTCAAGTTAATTGTTACGAAGAGAAACAAAATGTCAACCAAGTTAATCATCGGTAGTTGATTAACATACAATAGTTATGATATATGATTAAAGGTTTTTCTAAATTGACAATTGAGATGAAAATTAACTCACGCAAACCTGATTAACTTTATATACACAATGGGAATCATCATTTAAATCATATGTACATTAAATTGTGATTAAATTTGATTGGCAAGAGTTAACTGAGTTTTCATATGATTTGAGCTTTTGTTACAATTTGTTTCAATGATTTAGAAACAAAAATGTAATCAGAAAATTGTTTCAGACTAATGAGACTTATTGATAATACGAAGAGTGATAATTAATTACTAGTTTTGTTTTTTTCTTCTTAATCAAGTATAATTAAAGGTTTTGGTCTATTTTTATATCGATCATAATTAACTGGTATTCAAATTAAACATGTATAGAAAAAGAAAAGTTAATTTTACCTCAATCAGTTTGAAAGGTTATTTAAATTGTCTAGGAAAAAGTTTACGCAAGATTATGATTAACAACATCAATGGAATGATTTGTTAATTGTTGTCACGATTGATGATTAATTATACTTGATTAATGGATGAAGATGATTAGATGATAAGATGAGAAAGGGTAAAGGGGAGATCGGCTTTTGATCCGGGTCAAAATCTTGGCTCTAAAGGATGAATCTGATTGTAATTAACTGAGAATTAACTGAACTGATTAAAAGAGTGCAATTGCTAGATGGAAATTATAATAATTAAAAACAAAAGAGTAAATTAATTAAATGGTAAAAAAAAGAATAATAAATTTAGAAAAAGTCTAATAACAAGAAATTAAGATTAATCAAAGTAAAGATAAAACCCTGACCAAGGGAAGGGAGAATTCCTATCAAAATTAAGAGATAATAAAGTGAATTAACTGATAAACATAAGAATTGAAAAGTCGCCTTAAGATTTTGACCCTAAAAGAGTAAAAACGAAACCCGAGTTCTTCTTGATTCACTGGATTGCGTTGGTTTTGCCCGGCGTGAGCCGAGCCCTAATTGTCAAATGTTCGGATCGGATGAGGCTGTCCCACCCTTGGAACCCATTCCCGATGATAGGCCTTCATATCCACCGTCATCATCTCCATATCTTCCCGAAGGTGATAAAGTTCTAGATCGAGTTCGAGCAGCACCCATGTCAAGATTATACTAAATAAATGAGAAGAAACAAAAAGAGACAAGAAAACGAAGACAATTAATGTTATTATTTCTCTTTCATAAACTACTATTTAAAATGAAAATTGTCAACGAATAACAATAAACGTAAAGAGACAAAGATGAGGAAGAAAATAACTTTTTCACTTTAAAATGGAACAAAAAAAAATTCTGTCAAAAAGTAAAACTAATAATAGGAAAAGATGAAGGAAAGTATTATGTAAATTATCATCATATTGTTGCATGACATTTGATTGTCAATGATTGCATGATGTTAGTTTTAAATTGGTAAAGGTTATTATTATCACTCTGATTATTATTACATTATGATCACCATTGTTTAAGAGGAAGAGAGTGAGAGAGAGAGAGAGAATGAAGAAAAAAAAATCCATAACAACTTTGATGATAAATGATGAAAGAAAACTATATCATCAACTTTGTCTTCAATATCTTTTACCATTTACCGTTATGTTTACTTTCTCGACCCTTGACCTAGTTCGATGTTTTTAGTTCTAAATCATTCCCTAAATATATTATATCTAATATTTAAACATTGATATGTTTCATGGTTAACACTATAAGTGTATTTATCTATAAATAAATATATTAATAAGATGATCATCATGATGAACATTACAAAACTTAAAAGGTAAATAATGATAACAATGATATCGTAATAATGATGAGGAGGATAAAAGTTTTCAGGATAAAATATTTCATCATAATCATTGATGATTATCAACGATTATGGATTAAGATTGATTTACTTACCTTAGATGCACATCCAAGTGCACTATTAACTGATAAACAAACATAAATCATTAAGTTTTTTGATTCCTTGATCACATTATCAACTTTGGTGAAAGTTGCTGCTTTACCAACGGTTGGTTGTTTAACGGTAAATTGTAATTGTTGCACAAACGTTGGTACTTTATCCAATTGATCAAGTAAATCCTTCTTAGCCAATCCACTAGGAACCTAAGAAATGAGTAAACAAATAAATAAATAATTAGAAACATTGGAAACTGTAAAATGTTCAAATAATTTTCCAATCTTATCGTGGATCATCAAATGTGTAAACAATTAATTTCTTATAAATTACATTGTAGATTGAGAGTATATCATATGTATTATATTTGGTGTAGTTCGGTGATTTACCTGATAAGTAAAATGTCGAACTATCTTGTAGAATTTATTTGCTTCTTCAGCAACAAATTCTGCTTGAGTGAATAAATCCTGAGTTGTTTTCAGTTCACCTTCACCAAAGGTAAATTGATACATAGAAATTGCCATACCCACCATGGCTTTAGCTCTGCGAACCACATCATTATCATCAGATGTTGACCATTTTTCTGGATCAATTTCAACACCATTAGATATAACCTTTAATTCAGATGTTGTTATATGAATTTTATCACCTGAGCCAACCCTTGGTTTACCATTAACAAGAGTTGCTGATGATGATAATGGACCATTAGTTAATTGTGATGTTGACTGTTGTAATTGTTGAGGTTGATGATATTGTTGTTGCAACGATGCTAATTGTTGCTGTTGCTGTTGTTGTTGTTGATGTTGGTGTTGCTGCTGCTGAATGGCTACTTGTGATGAGCAATTAACTGATTTAGGTGAGACTGATGATGACCATTGAACATGATTACTATTGTTATTGAGACAATTGTTATTATTATTGTGCGATTGTAATGATGATGATGTCGTTGTCGTCGTTGTTGTTGCTGTTGTTGTTGTTGATGATGATGATGATGATAATCCTGTTAACGGTGTCATCCTCGTTGAATCATTATAGTAACTCAATGATTCTAATCCACTTGATAAATCCCTTATATCTTTTGAATATTGATGAACATCCGAGTACAATGTTATCCAAAAATCAAGAAATACTTCAAGATTATCCTTGGCAATCCGAGAATTAGGATAATTAGATAAAGTTAAACAGGCATTCAGAATCTGAGTACTGAAAATGTTAACATGAATCTCAGTTGCTTTTGAATAGATTACCAGAGTTTCCGAGGATGAAACATTGTGAAGTAATCGGCAAACCTCATTAACATGATCACAATGTTCATTATAAAGTTTAAAATAATCATTAAGTCTCTCGGTATCACCAGATATTGAATGATTACGTAGATGGTTAATCAAACTTAATTCATCAGTTAATTTGAATAATTCATCAGCTTGATTCAAGGCAGTTCTCCTTAACTATTAATGAAAATCAAAACAAAGAAATAAGATACAAGAAAAGTAATCAATAACATGGAGACAACCCTGATGATCGTTGACAGTTATTACTTATTTTCAAAAGGATGTAGAAAGTTGTTCAGCTAATAGACATTATCATTGATGAAAATTAGTAAATTGTTGTTGTAAATATTATACTGTCAATTTCCAATTTATAAATGATAAAGATTAAAATTTTCAATCAGTTAATTGATTTGGAGGAAAAAAAGTTCTTAATCTACTTGGAAAACAATAATTAAAAATGTTAAAATGTTGATGTTTTGATATCTTTTCCTATGGTTACCTTTTCATATTAAACTACGTTAATTATTATCATGAACTTTTTACGGTTTAGTTAATATAACACAATCAACTGGATTGATTAATGATTAAGTGTCACGTTATTGTTAGTTAACGATAACTAACCTGATATTTAACTTCATTAACGGCTTTAATTGTTTGAACGATGGCTTCCTCTAAATCTTCACTTGGATTTGTTGATCCAGCTTCATCCTGAGATTAATAGTAGTGATAATTAAGAAAAAATTAGTACAATTAATTAAGATTAATGGATTAGGTTTAATAAATTATTGCAATTATAACTTGATGGGCATTAAAATTGTTAGATTTTCAATCAACGATTGTAATGATCGGTAAAGTCAGTTGCTTTTTCCTAGAAAAAAAAAGCAATTTCAATTATTGTAAATTGATTGATTGAGTACTTACGAGGATAATTCCCAGTCTAATTAATTGATTTAGTTCAATTTTAACTTTATCACAGTGGAGTAATATTTTCTCTCGATTATCATGTCGTGTGTATGCAGAATCAGTAAAATGTTGAGTTAATTCAACGAAGTAATCGAAGGCACTTATTAGTCTAACTCGATAAACACCTTTACATAAGGTAACCCGACTCAACTCGACCAATTCCTGTAACAATTAAAGATAAATTGTCTCATTAATTATTTAAATTGATGGTTAATACGCTTATTATAATTTGATTTGTAGGCACATTTAAAGTCAAAGGTATTCTATCTATTAGTATATTGGATAAGTTAATCATGACGGAAGTTAATTGATGCATATTTCAACTTAATGTGTATATTAAATTGTAATAAATAGCATGTTAGTTAATCATTAGACGATATCATGTTAACTACGATTAAGAAAGGGTGGAAAATGAAGTAATTAATGGATAAACTGTCGTAGGAACAAGATAAATGATATCAACGTTTGTTTTTCTTGTTTGCCTCTTTTTTACCTCGAATTGTTTAATTGCATTAAAAGTCGTTGGAATTGGATTAATATTGTCAATTAGACAATTAGATGATGAAGATCCTGATGATGAGGATGGTGGTGGTGAGTGAAGTGATGAATAACGTGAAATATGACCATGTAATCTGGCATGAGATCGTCTTGAATGTCCAGAGGAATCAAATGAATTTGGTATTAGAGTTGGTAAGACTCCATCTTTGATTATCTTATGGATTATGTCAATTGTTTTTCGTATTTCAATCAAAACAGTATCACGATTATCTTTGGCACTTTCACAATCAGGATGACGAAGACAAGCTTTGGCTGATGTTAATAGTAGAATCGTTGATCGATCAATGAATCGACGCGCTGATCCCATTTCTGCTCTTCGTCTTTCATCCTTCAAGGTCTAAACAAGGAGAGAAATGAAAAATGATACATTTTCACAAAGAGGTGAATTAATTGTACCATGAAAAATGATAGAGACAATTGACCCAAAAATCAGTCGATTGTGAAACAAAAAGGTAGAGAAAACAAATCCTCTTCCTCTCTCCAAAACAAAGAAATGACCATAAAAATGACCATTAAATTGTCGAAATTACTCACATTTGAACGATCAGAAATTAGGTGAGCAAGTTCAACCATCTCATAGCCAAATTGACAAAAAGCTTTCACAAATTCAGTGAAATTGGCAACATTTTCCAAGCGATTTAAACTAATTGAAATCTGAATAGGAAATAAAAAAATTAAACCAATATATTAATTTAGTAATCAAGGTTAATTATTTAAAGTGATCAAAATTGTTCAAAGACTGAATTTCAGATCTTTTTTGACTCATTCATGATAATCATGAAAACGGTTACTCTAATTGACTTGAATCTAATCACATTGATTAATTGAATATTCCAATTTTCAAAAAACCTTCAAATGACCTCTAATTACGTTCTGTGCTCAATGAACTTGACCTTTGCATCAAAATTTCGTATTATTTTCGCGATATTCAATTTTCTTATTCTTTTTATATCCTCTTTTCCAATCAATTAGAAACATTGAACTAAATCTTATGGATAAATTTAACAGTCTCATAACAGCTAAAGGGATAATGGTTAGCACTAATTGTTGAATGTTCAAGATAAAGTTAAAATTATTAATCAACAGATAACAATTAAATGTTTACAAAGAGGGCATTTCACCAAATTTCCAACAAGGTTTTGTTGAATAGTTTTTCAGTTTTTTAATACTCAGACCTCCAAATGACCTTGAAACCGTATCTTACTAGAATGACTGGAATGACCTTCATATTGAAATGACAATTGAGTATCGCTCAAACTTCCATAACTCGATTCTGAATACTAAAAAATGAAAAGTTATTCAAGAAAAACTCGTTGGAAACATAGTGAAACGCCCTGTAGAAAGTGTGAGAAAATTTCACAATATGAACGACATAAGGCCAATTAATCACTTCTGCGAAATAAACTTTTTAACCAAACATTGATACGATAAAATGCTAGATTCTCTTATTCTCGTGTATGACTAATTTAGTTTAACATTAACATTAAAATTATCAAAAGCAAATTAAACCAAAAAATAAATCATGGTCAGTGTTACCTCCTTAGAAGTAGTTCATCACGTTTGTGTTTCTCCGTAGATATAGCAAACCTATTTTCAATGAAGAGCAGTGAGCGATTATGGATGTGGAGATAATGACACAAAGAGACATAAATCATTTGAATCTCAAAGGACTAAAAGGGTCATGAAAGGCACCCGTGGCCCAGCCGAACTATTTATTCTACAAGTACGCAAATATACTGCGGCTGAATTGGTCACCTAAGATATAAATTTCTAAGACAATAACTGTTCAACTTTTCAGTGACAAAACCATCAAATGACCTTGAACCCGCACCTTAACAGAATGATCTTGATATTGCAATATGACAATTGAGTATCACTCAAACTTTCATAACTCGAGTCTGAATTCTAAAAAACTAAAAATTTGTTCAAGAAAAACTTGTTGGAAACTTGGTGGAATGCCCTGTAGTAACATCTAACAATGTATTAAATACTTTATTCCTCACATAATTTAATCATGTAATTAAATTAAAAGCACAGAAAATCTAAATCTTACAGAATCTAATTTTCAACTCAAATGACCACATTGAATTAATGGTTCAATCAAACTAAATCAAGAAATTAGATGTGAAAAGTAATCAATATGAATAACAGAATGACACGGGAAAAGTTGGTTACGTCATTAAATGGATAAATTTACCACTAAATCACTTACAATTTTAGGATTAAGTAAACAATTAACTTACTCTGTCTTTAGGTGATAGAAGTTGATTAACTACAACAGCATCAGCAATTAGAAGGACCCGAGTTACAGATGATAAGAGACTCCTAGCTCCACGAAAAAGGCCTCGTTGATCAGAGTAACAACGTGAATTGTAAGCTCCAGAATCAGCAGTTAAATCACATAACTGCTCAAAAATACAACCTAAGCAATTGAGAGACGATTAAGGTAATAGTCACATAAGAAGAGAAAAAAATCAATAATAATCAGCTGATCGTTGGCAAGGCAATTGTTTGTATGTTGATTATCATAGATGATTGTTAATTGCTGATAATTTACGTTACCTGCTGTTCGTACATCTTTACATGAATCAACCATATCAATCTTAATCTCTGGATTATCATCACCAATTGTTTCACCCACCAGAGCAAATCGTTCAATTGATTGATTAATTGATTGTCCAATTCTAACCAGAGCTCGGTGGGTTTTCTCACTTTTGGTTAATTTTTCTCTTCCACCGCTTAACATTTTACTACAGTTCGTATTCCAATACGATAATAATAACTTTCGTAATCAATTGTGCTAACCTGTTAATTAGAAAAGAGAGAAAATATAATTAGATTGATTGGCAGTAAAAGTTTCCATTGATTTTTTGAGAAATCATAAAATCCCATTAATTATCAAAGATAATTGTTTAAAATATTGACCATTTATGAACAATTAGTTGTTTTACTTATAATATAACATAATTAAAATGCTGATAATCAATCAATATCCTTAAAACAGAAATATATTATAACATATACACAATATTCATGTACATTTATATTGTAAGTTAATAACAAGTATGACAGATCATATTGTTGTCGATGACAACAACTCACTAACACCAATCAATTTTCAAATTGTAATTTGATTGATTGACAAACTGATTGACATTGAAAAGAGAAAAACAAAATTGATTAAAAATTAATCAGAAAAACAGAATTCAATCTTGTATCTCAATGGACTCAAGTCATCGTGAATATCGCATTGAAACATACGGTTAATACTAATAGCATTGTAATATATGAAATACTTTAAGAAGAATCAGAAATCAATCAATAAATTAACATGGTAACGATAGAGTAGAAATCAATTGATTAACAATAATAAAACAGAAATAGAGATAAATGTTAATCTAATAACAGAGTAACTCAATTGTGTTAACCTTTCACCTTTTTTTCGTATCTCAATCAGATCTTCAATTGAGTTACTACTTAACCAGAATTTTCGTTGACCTAATTTCCCTCCATGGAAAGTTAGTAAAGAGAGAGAGAGACTAAATCATCTTTATCTTCCTCATCATGGTGATTATCATCATCATCTTAAGATGCTGTCCTCGTCATCATCTTAGATTTTGATGGGCTCACAAGGTGAACTATTTTTTACATCATAAGTTAATTAACAGTTAATGTAAAGATAACCAATTGATGAAATAGTAACAAGAAAATTTGTCAATATGATAAATAACTAATAAATTTCAAGTACAATTAAAGTAACACAATTTAATTGATTTCCTGGTTACCAATGAAAAATTGGCTTCTCAAAGACTTTCAGCAATTTCTGTCTTCAAATCATCACCAACATCATAGCACTTAATACAAATTCAATGGTAACAATTTATTGATTTTACAGATTAAAATAATAATAAAATCTAATAAATTATTAATATTATATTATATATACTCTGTAAGTGAATAGAATCAGGGATTGATATAAATTTATATCTAAATATAATATTACTCATACATAATGATGACCCTGAAAGAATATGAAAATGTATATTGCAAAAGTGAAAAAACATCACCAATAGTTACAATAGTAACTATGAATTCATGATAATCATCATGATTATTGAAGATTAAAGTTTTTCTTTCCATTTACTATGAGTATAGGTAAAAGATATAACAATTTAATAATAAATCAAATTATGAATATGATGATTGATGCAGATATTCAGGATACCTACACACAGAGAGATAGAGACAAGGTAACAACAGATATTGAGGTTATAATGTATTGTTTTTGTTTCCATGCTGAAGATGATCAACTGATTATTATCAAACTTCAATATGATTAACATATTACTCGTATATTCATGAAGACAGTATGATGAGAGAAATGGTAAAAATTTAATTTCCAAATGATTCATCCCATGATATTCAATAGATATTCAATAATCAGTAATTGAATTCTTGATGATAACTTATGGGAATTGCTAGTTAATTTGTTGTTGATGGTTTGTGATTGAGTTGATGGAAACCATTAAGAGATGAACAGTTAATCATTTATCATGTCTAAGAATTGGTTTCACTTGATAAAATTTTGATTAACTTAAGATGAGGTTTGATGATTAACACACACACACACTTAATACACATCCATGGGTAATGAAAAAACTATTTCAATATCAATCAAGGTTATCATTTTAAGATGATAATAATTAGTTTATTATTATTGTCATTTAATTTTCTTGTCATTCCCGAATTTGATTATTGCATCTTGATTATAATTTACAGTTAATTTTCATCTTATTTGAAACGAGATTAAAGTTTATTTAGTTAAATCCATTTTCCATTATTAGGATTATAATTTCAGATTCACGTTTCATGTAAAAAAAACTGATTCATGATGAATGATCAACGAACCAAATAAACTAATATTTTCGTTATAATAAAAGTAATCATTGAACTAATAATAATTGTAATTAACTAGTGATTGTAGTTAATTTTTTCACTCAAGGAATTAAACTTGCACTTCAATTAGGATTATTGCAATTAAAATCTTGGTAGGATTGAAGAAACTCTTGACCAACACAGAATATAAACTCAGTTACTACTCAGGAATAGATAAAATCCAGAATATATAACAAAAAGATTAGATAATAATCTAATTAAAAAGAAATATCAACAATAGAACTATAATAATTACACTACAATTAACAGAAATGTAGGTAAACTCGATTAGGAAAGAATATATTAATGCTGGAATCAACAGAATCAACAAAGAAAAATCATCATAATAATTAAAATAAATACAATTGAATTGAATTAAACTGAGCACATAGAAAGAAAGCAAAAGTCGACGATCTAAGATCTTGAACCTTTAAAATTTTGATTATAAAGTTAATCAACAAAAATTCAATAAGAAAATAACAATGTAAGTCAAACAATTAGGAGACTAAATCAACAGAAATAGATTAGTTGTCAACCTACAGACAAATCAACATTTTCAACAGAAAAATAAAAAAATAAGAGAGAAAGAGAAAGAAAATGATTGTAAGAAAAATGATATTGATGGTAAATTTCCGGTTTCTCTCCGGAAATAGATGATGATCACATTAGTAAAGTAATAATAATGTTACTTAAAATTAATGTTCAATCGATGGGGAAGATGAAAAAATCAACACAGACACCAAACATCAATATATCTTATAATAAACGATAGCAAAGTGATGATGATGAAAATAGCCAATGGTGACAAGAGAGAGAGAGAGAGAGAGAGACAAGATGATGATAAAGATGATATTGGAGATGAGGATGATTAAATAAAGATGATTGAGAAACTTTGATAAGATAAATGATGGTCAATAATGTTAGGGGTCAGTTCATAATTTAATTCATCTCATTTGGTTATCAATACTTATTGTGATTGGAAATGATTGAATCATGTGTTTGACAATCATCTGAATAAAATAAATATTATTAAATTGTAACATTCCAATTACAATTACAATTAAGTTTTGTTTTTCATTCTACACTATTTTGGTTTACTTAATTGTTAAGATTACATGCTTTAGATAATATTTTTAAATTCAATTCTTTTGTAAATTATTTGTTTCCATGGTGATGTTTACAATTTGAACACATAATCACAATACGAGTGTTGGTAAAGAAAAGAAAATCAATTTTAATGATTAAACCAACAATTCAATTGAAATAAGTAAATTGTGCTTATATTATTATAATGAAAACAATTTATTTACAACCCAAGTGATTTAATCAAAGAATTAATTGTAATTATTATGCTATTTATGATTAATATTAATTATCAGATAAGGAGTTGATATTAATCATAGTTAAGGTAAATCACTTGAGTGAATGAAAACAAAATAACTTCCATCATCTCTCATAACAATTGACTTGGAAATTAACCAAAAGTAATCTAAATATTAATAATTGGGTTGAGTGTTAATTCAGTTAATCAAATATCATCAGGATTCAATTGAATTTAATCGAGTAATAAATCAGAAATGTAAAAACAAACGGCAAATATTACCAATCAAATGAACATAATTTTTTTATCTTAACATTTATATTAATGAGTATACTGATTAATATATTAGTTATAGTTAATGAATAAATTAATTAAATTATCAAGCTGAGCATTATGGTTGTAGCATCAATCAGTAACTTTTATCGAGAAAAAAAAAGTTAATAATTGTAAACTGGGAGTGAAACTGGGAGTTAACAATTGCAGTTTAAAATTACATCTACAAGTTTACAATTAACTTAATTGTTGAGGTTAAAAGATGATGAAAATGAAGAAAAATCGATAATTTTCAAGGTAAACAATTAAATTGAATATTGGGAATTTAAATTGCAAGAAATCATTATGATTATTATCATGGTTGGGTTGATATTAATCGTAATGATAACTGATAGTAATGATTATTGTAACAAATTGTTACCAAATTTAACCTAAGATATTTAGATTAATAGTTTTTTAACAATCAAAGTTAATTGTCCATGGTAATAATGTAACCAAATTATCATATAAATTGTGATAAAAGTTTGAATTTTACCAATTTAATTGTGTAATAAAACAACAATGTAACAATTTATTAATAATATGATATTAATAACATTTTGGTCAAATTGAGTTGATTGTAAATTTTTTCTTTGTGATTTATAATCAATGGACATGATGATTGATTAATCATGATCAAGGGAATCAAGTTAATCAGGTTAAATTATAAATGGTTGGTTGAATTGAAAAGATTATTTTGAAAACCTATTGAACCAATTAGGAAATCATTGGTTAACCATTAAATAGCATTGGTTGGGATTCACAATTAAGTTTTAATCATTATCACCATCAGAACGAGATTATTGAATTGTAAATAATTTAAATGATGATTGCAGGTCTTCATTTAAATTATTACAATCAAATTGGAGTTAATCAAAATATTGTCAATAATATTGGTTAATACAGTTAGTAAATCGTTTTTAAAACTATTAATTAAATAATTAAAATTTTAGTCACGGTAAAAATAAATTATTACAATTGTAAATAAAGTTACAATTATAGAGTCTAGAATTGACTGATTTAAAATAGTTCAAGGTAATTGATTATTTTCAGTTTAATTTAAGTGATTTGTATCATCACTTTCAGCTGATTATTGATAATTGAATCCTCTCATTGGGTTGATGGTGATTCTGATCAGATAGGAGTTTGCTGGGATTTGTTTAATTAATTTTAAACAATTGAAATGTGACAGGTTACAACATTAAGTGGTTAATTAATTAACTTTGAATGATTAGTTTTCAAGATCAATTATGAAGTGATTAAACTGTTTCCTCCGTAAACAAAAATAACAACAGAAAAAGGTAAACATGTTAATCATTTAAATGAATGAGATTATATTGTTGAAGATTTTAAATTAACAATTTTCAGGCTTCATTAGAGGTGATTGATTACTTGGAGTTGGTTAGTCAATTGATTGTTGACTTTTAAATCAAACAATCCAAGTTAATTGAATCACCTCTTTTTTTTCAAATACTCTTTGAAACTGTGAGATTTGTAAAGGGAAAATGTTAATTGTAATGATACAACTTGAAATGGTAAAGGATCAATCTAATTGTAGCTAATTCTGTTCAAATTGTAAGGGTTTTGTTTTAACCTAAATGATTTAGTTGAAATTTAATCTATTGATTAATAGATTTACCTGAGGAGAGAGAAAGAGGGAGAGGGTGAGGGAGGGATAGAGGTTGGAATAGGAAAATCTATATTATCTTACCTTTAATTTGTTTGCTTTTCACTATGAGCACAAATCGACTTGAAATTAGAGCAATTAGTTGATGAAATTTTTTGTTAACATTGATGAGTATGAGTTTCAGTAGTAACATGGAAATAGATTTACAAGATTAGAGCCAAAGGTAGAGGTGAAAGGTAAGAGTAAATATCAAGAGATGAGAACGTAAATAGTCAATAGGATTTCCAAAGGTTTATATTGTTTGCCTTTCTTGCTGAGACCAGAATTTTTACCGATTGATTTTCCAGGTAAATTATAAGCAAGTTGATCATCAGCATCATGGAAATGTGACCAGAAGAAGAAGAAGTAAATGTTGATGGTGATGAGAAACCATAGATAAGTCAGTAGGTGGAAGTAAATATTGTGAACCAGGTAGAAAACAACATGGAGACTCTCAAGAAATTAATCTTGTGAGAAAGGGAGGGGATATGATATAAGATATTAAAAGACAATTGAACCGTAGAAAAGGAAAAGGTAACAGTAAATGGTTGATCAAAGATGGCGATCAACTGATTATCGACATCATATTAACACCATCATCCATCAAAAAGGTATAAGTAATTTGAATTTTGTACAACAGCAATTCCATAGAAACATAGGTAACAATATCACCCCTTTAGATGATTAGAATAACAAAACCATAAGAAAAATAATTGAAAGGAGAAAACGTTGACCAGAAGACACTTAGTACAAACACTTAGATCTCTACAAAGAGAAGGAAAGAGAAAAAGAAAAAGATTGTCACATTAATAGAAAAAGAGAAGAAGAGAAAAAATCAAAATGGTTTATAGATTTTGTTATTGTTTCCACCGGATATGTATCACAATTAGAGAATTGATATTAATGTTCTGTTGATATTATTGATGATGATGATATGTAGATGATAAGAGAACAATAAACAACTGTTGTTGATTAGAAAATAAATCTCATGTTCCATTGACACAATCACATAGGAGAAAAAGAGTTAATCGTTGAGAGAGAGAGAGAGAGAGAGAGAGAGAGACAAACTCATGAGAGGTTTTCTGAATCGACTCAGAATTTTTCTTTTCTCTCTCAGGATCAACTGAGATTGTCGATTTTATATTTACCTGGTTCATCCAAAGAGGGCAAAGAGACAAAAACATCCAGGTAAAAGAAAAACCAAAAAAAAGAAGAAGATTAAAACAACAATCTAATCCCAAACGAAAATTAATTCACCAGATTAACCAATCTCTTCTCTAACAATTATCTTTTCCATTGGAACACCAATAGAACAGAAAAAAAAACAATATTCCAACTCTTGAGAAGAGAATAATCGACATTAATTATTCCCTGGAGAAATTAGAAAACAAAAAGACAATTAGTAAAAAAGATCAATTTAATTAGAAACAAATCCAATTAAAAGAGTAAAAATTTGTTCGATAAACAGAATTTAAAAAAATTCTATTGACTGTTGTTCTCACAGAAAATGAGGTGAGAATAGACTTTGTTTACTTACGAAAACAGTTTTTCTCTTGAAATATGTTAACTTAATTGTGATTTTTTCTCCACTTAAATTGTTGATTAATTTTCTTTTAAATTTATTTTATTTTAATTTAACAAGTTTACTTGGATAATATTTAATTTAATTCGTTTTAATTATTTAAATTACCAAAGAAAATGAATTCCAATTAACCAATAGATGGAGCTACAATTTTCTTCCTGATTGAGACCAAGATTTTTGTTCAGGTGAATAAAGTACTTACTATATTTTGTGGACTAATAATCTTTAGTTAATTAGTTTAATTTTTCTTCTTCTAATTAGTTTAATTTGGTTTGGTGTCCGAATAATCCATTTAATCAGTTCACTTTGCTAGTGGATTTGGTTGGAGTCTCTTTTGGTTTTCTTTTCTTTTTAGTGCTTGTTTACTTCGGTCACATTTTCTCTTCAGTGTCTTTCAGTTTTTCTATTTTTTTTCTGTCTCTCTCTCTCTCTCTTACTTTGGTTTCTCTTTTTTTGTCTCTCTCTCTCTTTCTATCTTTTTCGTCATTTCATTAGAAAAACAGAAAAATAATCTAATTTGCTGACTATGAATCGATCGGAAAGTAAAAAATCTAAATCTAAAGTGGCCAAGACAGAATCAAGTGGAGGAAAGAAACGTAAAAGTAGTGATCATCATCACTCATCATCTTCTGTAAAGAAAGAAAAGAAAAAGTCTCACCATCATCATCATCATTCTTCGTCTTCACCACCACCACCATCATCATCGTCATCATCATCATCACCTTTATCTAAGCCTTCAACACCCTCGAAACCTTCTCCAAGCTCTCATCTTCTCTCATCTCTATCAACATTAATACCTCCACCACAATTACCTTCTTCATCTTCATCTTCCTCATCTTCCTCTAGATCTTCTTACTCTTCTTCACCTTCATCATCAACCATCTCAACTGCTTATAACAATAATGTCCAATTCAATAATTTCGCTAAACCCAAATCTGAACCGATTGGTTTTGGTTCAAAGGTAATGACACGATCCAAGGTTTACTCTGGGACAGTTCGTAATGCAACTTATGATGAAATCCCGACTCTGGAAAAATTATGCCTTCAAGTTTTAATGGACAATTATACTAATATAACTCATCTGGGTGACGCTCCATATTGGCTAATTAAACCGGTATTAGAAAAATGTAGCTCCAATCAATTATTCATATTGGAAGATTATAATCCACGATTAACCGAAGATGATGATGAACTTTGGAAATGGCATTGTGAGAAAGAATTTCGAGATTGGAAAAGACAAGAAGATGAAACCTGGAGAGATCTATTTGTCCGAGCCGAACAAGAGAGAAAACGTAAATTAGAACAGATCACCCGAAGTATCGATCTAAAAGAAAAGGCCCGTGGACCAATGCGAAAAACTCAATTAGCCTTCACCGATCCTAAACCACCAAGAAATGTAAAAAGAATTATGGACAAAAAGGACAAGGGATTCGTTAAAGCGACAGCCCCACCAAGTGTATCTTCTAATGCAGCGGGTTCCGCTTCGACTATTACTCCTGCCAAGAAGACCAAAGGTGCACTAATGAAAAACGCCTTAAAAATGATGCAAACTATACGACGACAATATTAGGCAATCCAAATGTACACACCGAAACGGCAAAGGAAAAACAAACACTTCTATTTAATTGGTTTTCTTTTGTGTATATTACAATCAACAACAACTCAATCAAAAAGCAAAATCACCGATTAGAACAAAGAACCGAAAAAAACTTTAACCTAACAAACGATCAAAGCTCAACAATTGAATTACAAGTTTCTAATCCGATTGATCTTTTATTGATAATCTACAATTTAACTTTGGAAGAAATGAAAACAATAACAAACAGAAAACCTTCCAGATCAGTTTAATCAACACAATCAACCCAAATTTTCAAGTTCCATGCTGAAACCTGTACCATCGTATTGTAATTTTGTGCTTCAAAAGTAAATCACCCAAACAAGATTAACAATTGGATTAACCAGAGAGACTCATGGACACATTTAATTGGACATCGTGATATCTTAATTATCTAATTTAATTTGATGGAGATTCTTTTTTTTCCCTACTATTTCCTATTCCTTTTTTTTTCCTCTACTGCCTCTGTCCATTTAATTTCCTCATGAAAAATTATGTTTCAACAATTAGACTTTAATTAAACAAAATGTATTTAACTTTCATCCTTTTGATTTAATTACAAACTTTGGTTTGTAACATGAACAACAATCTAATTAACAATTAACATCTCCTTCCTCCCGTTAAATTTGATTTGTCATTTTCTATGTAAATCTGACCCTGCGAATCATTTATCTCCTATTTTTGCTGTTCCCTTTCACTTTCCTGTAATCAACAATTAACTAATTGTTGAAATGACCCAACAGATAAAATTCTGGTTTAATGGTCAATCCAATAGTTAATATATAAATAATGATTTATATATATAATTGTGAATAAGTTTATTTTGTTTTATTATAATGTGAAAATAATAACCTTAATTAACAACAGAAAATAAAGATTATCCAATTAAAATAGTTAATTACAATTAAGATTATCCATCAAGTGTGTTTATATATATCAAAAATGATTGATAATTTAGAAAATTGAATTTTTCCAAACAATTAGTTTACAATATTTTCACTATTGATTGGTTGATGTTGTTTTGATTGTTGATTGTGACTAATTGTCGAGACTATGATTAAGATGATTAACATTTTGAAATGTGTTATATGATCAAATTGTCACAATTAAATTGTCTTCAAACCTATGGTCATGATGATTGGAATATCAATTGGAAACATTTGATGATTGGTGACAACAATTAAAAGTAATCATTTGATTGCGGAAAGTTGATTAGAGAGAGAGAAAAATAAACATTAATTGTTACAAGATGATTAAATTGTCGAGGATTAAACTTTCATTTTGATTTTGTACTCGAAAAGGCATGAAAACTGTAGCAACAATTAGGAACAACAATTAACAATTAACAATAAGAGCATCTGATGATTGAAAGAGAATTTTTTTCTCAAGGAATTGGATTAAAATCTTTCAATTTGATATCAATTTAATCCGTTGCTGATTATTTGGTCCTTTGATTGTATTGGACAAAAAAGTCCATGGAAATCACTTGTTATCGCCGCAGGCGTTTTAAAATGGGCTCTAGCTAATTCCTTGAACGTTTTACCATCAAGAACAAGGAGAAAACCTTCATTTTCAATTTTCTCATAGAGAACAGCTGATAGAACCACACCTAATCAAGAATATAAATAGAAATTGTAATTAGTTCAATTGTTGACATTTCCATTTAATTAAAACTCTTACCATCATCTTCATCTATCGCCCCAGGCCTCGGGATGAAAACGGGTTCAGACGGAGCGCATCCTTCATCCGACCAGATGATTGTTTGCTTATTACCAACATCACATTTCATCTAGAAAACAAATTACAATGTAAACAATTAGATTAATTATCAAAAACAATCAATTCGCATCATGATTAACGATAAATCATTAATTACGCACCAGTTGAGCCAGAAAATCATCTCGTCGAGTGATTGAGTAAAAGTATCGATATTTTTTACCATTATAATGTCGATAATTAATCTGTGGCATTTCAGCCATGTTTGAACCTGTCGATGATTTAAATTAAAAGGCAACAATTAACTAACATCATCAAAATCATGAGACAATTGTTATCACCGTGTTTACAAATGATTAAAGTGACACAATGACAATTATAATCATTGAATGTGAAACTTGAGTCTGTTGTAGTTTAGTAAAAGTTAATCAACAAATTGTGAAATTCAATCAAAATTTACAGATTAAAATACAAATTCCAAGGTAAAATTGTTAAACACAAAGGGTGAAATTAATTGTTAACAATTAATTTGATTATCAAATAACTTACCAGTAGTTGTTAAAGGTTCGTGAGTAATTTCAATTTCATCTCCATTACGTTTAGCTTTGGCTTTGGAATCTTTCAAAGTGATTAAATTATCAATAGACTATAAGAATTAGAAGCAAAAATGATATATCACAATTAGAATGACAATTAAAGTAAATTAAAGCTAAAATTAACCTCTAATCACCTTATCTGATTTTGAATCAACGTTTAAAGGTAAAACATAGCGACGAGCTTGTGATCTGAGGGATTGGTAATAATTAACTGATTCCTTTTTAGTATCAGCTGATTGTTCACTGATTTTTGAAAGTGTATCAGCAAATAAAGCATTTACAATGGATCCATCTTCGTAACAGCAAATATCACAGACAATGTGATCATCTTCTTGGTATCCATTGATTGTATGAAAGAAAGCAAATGCATCACTGACATAATTAGATGAGATCAGTTTTCCAGTTGATTTGTCAATCACGTTGAAACGAGTCTAATTGGAAGAATGAGAAATTGATAACAATTAAATGAGGAAACAATTAAGGTATGATACATATGTAAGTGTTGACGTTTGGTTACCTTGAACTCTGGTCGCCATTTTAAAGCTTTACAATAAGCTCCGCCGATGAAGTGATTGATCAAAATTGAGGGAATCGATGTGACCAAAGGTTGTTCAATGAAGACGATATAATCTTGAGTAACCAGGAAACTGTGATAATATGAAGGGTACATTTGATTTCGAACTGGAATTGTCGCTAAAAGGGAAGCGGAAGTAAATCCTGATGATACATTTGGATCGATTTTGATTACATTGTAAGTTCCCTTGCCGCTGAAATTTGATCCTAAATTGTAGACGATTCCGTTTGGTTCAATGTGTGGGTGAGCAGTTTGAGTGTTAACGGTTACATATTGGGCCAGGTCAACGCCGTTCATGGTATCGATGGTTTTTGGATCAATTCTATGGAGGAAAGTTGATTCGGTTGAGGCATAAAGTTGATCACCCACCGGGTAGATACTCACTGAATCATTGTCAGTAAATTGTTTGAATGAAAAGTAGCTCATGTACCGTTCGAGTAAATTTTTACACGGATCGGGATAAGCACGAGTACCAAAGTCAGAGACAACGATACGATTTGCTTTTATGTTCCGTTTATAAGCTTCCGATCGGAGAAATTTGTTCCGATAAGTAACATGACCTGAATCAATGGTGAATTGATGAATAAGTGCCAGTCCATCAAATAGATGCCGATATTCATCTGTACCAATTTTCCGTAAACCAGGTCCATTTCGAAGTAGATAACCTTTGACCCAAGATGGAATCGAACCTTAAAAACAATTAGAAAAACGTAATTACCAAAGTAATTAATCAATCCAATCAATCAAATTTATTCACATTTGAAAATATTAGTAATGAAAACTGATCAATAACAATCGGATAATATTGATAATTGATTAACTAACGATTAATTGAGTTTCGATTGTTGAAAAGTTACAAAAAAATTACAATTTGTCAATCGATTTGAATTACAATCAAGTGACAAGGTTTTAACCTGTGGTGAAAAGTTTGGGACTTTTTGATAAAACATTCGTAGAAACCGTAGTATTGAGTGTATTCAACTGAAATTTTATAATCTCATAGCTAATATATAAGAGATAATATTGTATAAATTTCAGGTCATAAAATTTGATAGTATCGCTAATTTTTAAATTGAAGTGCGATGAAAAAAAAATCGACAAAAATATTTTTAAAATTAGATTTTTGAATAACTTTTCGATACATGATCAGATTTTTATGAAAATAGTTTTTTTAGAAGCAGCTCAAAATTTTGTATAAAAATTATGTTGCACTTAATTCTGTCAAGAGATCGAGCGAAGATATTCAGAAAAGAAAGTTCGATTTTTTTGCATTTTGACAAAATCGAATTTTTCTCATTGACAGCCACGTTAAAAGCTCTCATAGACTTAACATGTATTCAATCTCACCGATTTTTTTTCTTCAACTTTGGAACTCAATTTTATCCGAACTAATTGATTAATTGAAATTTTTTCTTTCATCGATAGGTTAGTTAATTAACAATATTTCAAATAAATTTCGAAATTTTACTAGAGTTCGTTCTTAAAATATTACGATTTTAGCAAAAGTTCCCAAACTTTTTCCCCACAGGTTATAATAATTTGTTGAGAGAAAACTGGACCAATTAATTCAGAACAATCTAATTAAATTAAAGGTAATCAAGACAATTAAATTATTTACTAATTGCCAGTTGATTGGGTTGATACAATAATACAAATCAGTCTGGTTAGTAAATGTAATTATCTTAATAGTAATTATAAAGTAATTGTCAACATTGTAATAAAAGTGTTAATATTAATATTATCATTTTGCAATTAACAATAATTAAGTAAATTAATTGGGGAGAGAAAAAGAAAATCAAGTTTTCATTTAATTTGTCCTTTTAATCAATTAAATTAAATTGCTAAAACAAAGATTAAAATTAAATGGCTCAAGTTTCAATAATCTATTGGAAAGAGAGCAATTTAATAACTAATAAGAAAATTGCTTGCAACGATTAAAATTAATCACTAGAGACCATAGAAATGATTGAAATAATTATAATTGATATTATTTCGTAAAGCAATTAAGTGATTGTTAAATAAACACTTAATGTAAAATCAATAATCGTTGATACGAAATCGTGAGTGAATTGGATACAAATGAAATACAAGTAACTCGAAGTGGCAAAGATTAACTTTTAAAGGTAAGATGAGACTAATTTTCTGGGGATTAAGATTAACAATTTAAAGTATAATCAGACTAAATTCACAATTCTGAACAATCATAGAAAGAGATTAGTTAAAGGTCCTTGGTAACACCAGAGAATCCAGAAGATAATGTAAAGAGGTTATTGGTTATTAGGAATGATAGAACTGTCAAAAAATTGGAACTTGTATTATGTAATATCAATGAAACAAACTGAGAAAAGGATAAGAATGAGTGAAAGTTAATTGTAACGAATTCAGTTGAATAGTCACAACAATTTGACAACATGAAAGATTTTGACATAAACAATCAGTCAGAATTATAGTACGATTAATCTTTGGGTGATCTCGAGTGATTAAGAAAAACCAGTAGACAATTAAGACGAGAAGAAGATGAAAATTGTTAATTGTCACTAGAAGTGTTAATGATTAACCATTCAAGAATTGGGAGGAAATGTTTCAATGTAGATTTCAAATTATTAGATTGGAGGTGAGGATTGATCAGGATGGAGATTAATATTAATAATAATCTTAATAATTATTAGAATATAAAATATACGATGAAGAGGAAGATGAGGATGAGAGAGAGATGAGGATGGGAGAGAGATGAGGAGATGTCGAGATTTGTTAATTGTGACAATCACATGACTTACCGATAACTTTGGCATCAACTGGTTCAGAACATTCTTGTTGACAAGATCTTAGGTGTGGTGATCGAGCTTCTTTAAGGTGATGAGCATTTATTGGTTTGGATTGATGATGAAGATTGGAAGATGTTGTTGTTGTTGGAATGACTGTTGCTGGAGAATCCATTGAACCGAATAGTCTGATGGTACAAGGGATGATGGTTCCTCTTCCGAACTGAGAATGGCAAATGATGGAACATCTTGGTGAGATCATTTGGCGGGAGATTATCATCTTCGTGCATTTGTGCAACATCATCATGAGGGAGAAAACGAATCTGTAAACAAAAGGGAGAAAATAAGAAGAAGAGAGAATGAGAGAGAATGATGGAGATTGAGACAGAGACGAAGACAGGATTCGAATAAAAAAACGTGAGTGATAAATGAAATAGTGAAAATCGATACAAACTCCAGTAGATTAAAAGATACATAAATTGACAGAGAATCATATTAGAGAGAGAGAGAGAGAGAGAGAAACCTTATTATAGAATATAAATCAAACCGATGAAATGTTACATTGATTGGAAGGGCGAAGAAATTTTCAAGGAACAATTGATTAGAACGTAACTTACGTTTTTTGTGGAATTAATTAGAAATTAGAATCACAATCAATTTAATTAGTGTGACAATTGATCAATTACCGACTTAAAAAATCAATTAACTTGAAGAGAAAAAAAAACAATAACAATTGATAGAAAATTGATAATCCTGTTTATCTCTGACGTTGGAGTTTCAGTTGAAGCGCTTTTTTCCAATTTAATTAATTTCGTTACGATTTAAATTGAAACTTTGATTCCAATAGTTAATTAAAGTTGATTAACTGTTTAATTTTGTTACAGATTCTTTTCCAAAGGATTTAAACTCCAGGGTAAATTGTAAAGCACCAGGAGCAACGGTAAAGAGTAATTTTTGCTCATCAGGAATTTAATTCCATCTAATTAAATTAATTGTAATTTAATTTCTTCTTCATCTCTTTTATCGTTAGTTAGTTGGTTAATTTAATCACATTTTGATTATATAACCCACTGAGTTGGTGGTGTGACTAATTTTTACTCATGATATTTGTTCATTGGGAAAAGGATTCAGATGATATCGTTAGAATCAAGTTAATTGATTGGGTCACAATTAGATTTTCATGTTTGGTTTTTTAATTACTCTGGAAGAGTATTAGTTGATTGTCAATTTGATTGTAGTTTGACTTACATTTAATATGAAGATCAAGGGTAACAGTTAATGGTTGAAGGAAATTGTATTAATTGTTACAATTAGCACGTTATTTAGATGTTGATTAAATTTGGATAATTTTCTTTTGATTGGTTTACATAAATTATCAGAAAGTTAATCATTGAAATTGCTTTTTGTTAGTTAAATTGAATAATTAGTTATTACGATCAATTGAATTTTTAGTTTCCAATTTCTATTGATCGGATAGTGAAATTGTTGATATTTTGGATGAAAGATCGGAAAATATTACAAAGATTTTTAATTGTCGAAACAATTTGAGAAATTTTTGATCGTCTTATCATTAATTAGTTAATTATTTTGATGGCCATTTACCAGAATATTTGTTTTATATAAAAGGCAAAAGTTGAATCTAAATTACGATAGAAGAAATTGAGAAAATCGTTAGGAAGATTTTGAACCTTTTCGTTTCGACGAATCAAGTGACAAATAAAACTCAACCAACGTTGACGAAATTATCGAAATTGACTTTCGAAAATTTGATTTTTCTAATGTATGTCGAAAATTAAAGGTTCGATTTTTTAGAAGTTACTCAGGACGAATGTTCCAAACTTTAATCGAAGAGAGCTAATGGTCAAAACTATTAATTATTTTCGTTATTCGATCGCTACAAAGTTAATTAGTACAATTCCTAAACTTTTCTGTTGATAATTTATTATTGTTGTAGCGAGTGAATTAATTAACCACCACAGTTAAAGTTTTCTCTCGGGAGTTTTTGATTATCTTTGGTGTTTGTCTACTCTCCATGTTCTCCTCATCATCAGTTGGTGTTAATTAATTGTTCTTTTGTTGTTTATGTTGACCAATCAGTTATTAATAGTTGGTGAATGAAGAGATGATCCTTTGAATAGAAAAAAAGAGAATCAGATATGATGAAAGAAAATAAAACGAATTAACTGTTAATCGGTTTCATTCCTTCAGCTTCTTATTGAACAGATTATTTGACGATTTCTTTTCTTAACCAACCAAAGTAATCAACAAATCATGATTCCTTTTTTTCTTCTTCTTTAATCATTAACAATATAAGGATTAAAAGTATCAATGGAATAATCCAAAAGAGAAACAAAGAAGAAGCCAAATAAACATTGAGAAGAAAAAGGTTAACGAAGCAAAAGAACAAACCAAACACAAACAACTAGATCGATCCACAGATAGATTTACCTTTTTTCCAACACAATAAAACAACAAGAAAAGAAACAATTAAAGACCAATTAGCTCAAAAATTAATTAACGAAAAGTGAAATGTCAACAATTAAGAAAAAAAATTCTATCAAAGTTAATTTAATGAACAAAAGGTGTCGCTTCAATCGATAGAATTTCTTTCGGTTTTTTAGTTACATAAAATTCCAAGAGATGGCGCCCAAAAATAGAAAATTACGTTTACGTTACTTTGGTTTTCCTTTTGTCTTTTCATTTAGAATGAATTTAGTTGAATTGGTTTAGTTTTTTTCTGTTTATGTGATTACCTTATTTTTATCTCAATTATTTTAATTTGTGTCTATTAATTAGTTTTAATTACCGTTAAATTCATGGTTACCTTTTGGTTAATCTTAAAGTGAAGACAAAACAAAATGGTTAAACTCCACCGATGGACTGTGATGGTTACAAAATGACTCCGCCTGTAGTATTGATGCTTAGCTGATGCTCTTTGCTACCTAAGCTCCTTTTTCCTCTTCATCTTTTTTTCTTTTCTTTTCTTTTTTTTCTCACTAATTAGAATTGTTTTTTTTTCTCCTCTCACTATTCTATCTAAAACTTTGTTCTATTCTTCTAATTGGTTTAATATCTCCCTCTGTGTGTATTTCTATCTGCTCTTCTCTGTCTCTGTCTTTGCCTTCTCTCTCTCTCTCTCTTTCTGTCCATGTTGTGTATCAACCATTTTTTGTGTATTGGAAGATCTCACTGTTGTTTCTAAAGAGCGACCAGAAATAATGATGATGACTACCTAAAAACAACCCAAGCCGTTAAGACACCAATCATTTAGGATTTGTGTATATTTGGCTTATATAAACCAAGCTTTTTTCTTATTAGCTTGGAAAGTTTTTTTTCTTTTTCTTTTCTCTCTCTCTCTCTCTCTCTCTCTCTATCTTCGTTTATTTGTTATCTTCTCTCATCATCATCATCACCATCATCATCGGCTCTTTTACCTCAGTTTTCCTTTTTCTCCCTTTTGTAATATGTCAAACGATAGATTTGTCCTCCAAGTCTATGTTGGAGCTTTCAGCCGTTTATATGAGGCCTTGTCCATTGAAGCAAGTAAACAAACAACCACCGAGGAGATAATTGAATGTATAGCTGAAAAATTAAGTCTACGAGATGCCAATAGTTATGAGCTTGCGGAAGTTATTCTTGGCCATGAGGGTGAAGATTGTAAAGAGCGTCGTATAGGACCAAGTGAATGTCCAGTTGCTCTTCAATTACTTTGGCCTCTTAATCCAAAGTGTAACAATAATCAAGGTATACCCAAAGATGGTAAAAATAAGGACATTTTTTCCGGTTTCATTGGACCTGAATACAGATTTTGCCTTCGACGGAAACTTATACAACAATGTATGAACTGGTCTTTCTCATGGACCGATTCAAATGACTCACAACTTTTGAAGGATTATTTTCTTCGATTTTTGTATCAACCAAGGGACAGGGAGTATCCAGATTTGTGCCAATTACCCGATTTAACTGAGCAAACTTTATTGGAAAATCTTAAGGTACTGTAATCAATTTAGAATCAATCACAATTAGTACCTTTTGTAACCTAACTTTTCTCTAATTCATTTTTGTTTTCTCTCTTCTCAACCACAGGCTAGATTTGAAAAAGGCCATATTTATACCTATGTTGGATCGATATTAATTGCCGTCAACCCTTTTAAATTTTATCCTATTTATAACCCTAAATATGTTCAACTTTATCAAAATCGCCGTCTTGGTGATTTACCACCCCACATATTTGCCATTGCGGATGCCGCCTATCAGGTATTTATAAATATAAATATAATTATTTCCTATCAGTAAAATTTAATTAGATAACAATATTGTAATCAAATTGTAATAGTTTTAATGATGATGATGATGGTTGATTTAGATGATTGTCAAACATGAGAAGATATTGAGAGTTAACCCGAATGAGAAAGAGTTGTTGTTGATACAATTGTCATCGAACTGTTTTGTAATTTATTATCTGCTTCTCTCCCTTTGCCTGGGAAAGAAATTACCATTGGTCAGTTGTCCAGTTGATTTGTGAACAAATATGAATGGGTACACGAGAGATTGATTACTTTTTCATCTCATTTACAAACAAACTATTAATATACCAAAGGCTGTTAATGAGCTGTTTCTATCTCTCTCTCTCTCTTTCTCTTGCCATCATCATCATCATTATTACATCAAGATAACTCCCTTATTTTTGTCTATAGAAACAATTTATCATAACATGTTAGATTGAATATGTCAACTAATCATCAATTTATTTCTCTTTCCTTCAATTAGGCAATGCTTCGTAAAAGATGTAACCAATGTATTGTGATATCTGGTGAAAGTGGATCCGGTAAAACAGAAAGCACCAATCTCCTTTTACATCATTTAACTGCTCTTAGTCAGAAAGGCAGCCATGGTAGCGGTGTTGAGCAAACCATTCTCGGTGCTGGTCCAGTCTTGGAAGCTTTTGGTAACGCCAAGACAAAGCATAATAACAATTCAAGTCGATTTGGTAAATTTATCCAAGTTAATTACAAAGAGAATGGTATGGTTCACGGAGCCGTTGTATTAAAGTATCTCCTAGAAAAGTCAAGAATAGTTTCACAAGCCAAAAATGAGAGAAACTATCATGTATTTTATTACCTATTAGCTGGTGCAGATTCAGCTGATAAGGAGGCTTTTTACCTTACAAAAGCATCGGATTATTTTTATCTCAATCAAAGTAAATGTTACACCTTGGAAGGTGTTGATGAAGCTTATGAGTTTAGTCGTCTTAAACAGTCCCTTGAAATGGTTGGATTTTCAAGGGAGAAACAACGTCGTCTTTACGCCGTTCTCTCAGCTGTTCTTCATTTGGGAAACGTTGAGTTTACCAAAAAATCAACCTACCATAGTGATGAAACAGTGATGGTTCAAAATGTTGAAGCCGTTTCAACAATATCTAAATTATTAATGGTCAAAGAGGAGACACTTTTATCCGCATTAACCTGTAAAAGGACCAAAGCAGCCAAAGGGGAGACAATTATAATTAACTATAAAATGGCGGATGCAGTTGCCACCCGAGATGCCATGGCAAAGTGTTTATATGGTGCACTATTTGATTGGATTGTGATGCAAGTAAATCAATCACTTTTATCAAAGAAAGAAGCTCGTGATCATCGTGGTAATTATATTGGTGTATTGGATATTTTTGGTTTCGAGGATTTTGGTGATCAAAATTATTTTGAACAATTTTGCATTAATTTTGCCAATGAACATCTTCACCATTATTTTAATCAGCACGTTTTCAAATATGAACAAGAAGAATATCGGAGAGAGGGTATTAATTGGAAGAGTATTGATTTCCATGATAATGTGGGCTGTCTTAATCTAATTGAAGGTCGCCCTCAAGGGTTACTTTGTTTACTTGATGATCAGTGTAACTTTCCTGGAGCATCAAATTCAACGGTATTACAAAAGTTTGTTAATCATCATCAAAATAATCCATTATTTGAAGTGCCTCCTTGCCGTCAGAGTGCATTTGTGATTAAACATTATGCTGGAAAAGTGAAATACCAAATTAAGGATTTTCGTGAAAAAAATATGGACCTAATGAGGCCCGACATCGTTTGCCTATTAAAGTCTAGTACCTCAGCGTTTGTCCGAGAATTGGTTGGTTCTGACCCATTGGCCATTTTCCGTTGGCAAATATTAAAGGCTTTCTTTAAATCATATTTTGTTTTCACCAAATTAAGGGAACAATCAAAACAACGTAAAGTAGTTCAACGAAAACCAATAACGTAAGTTAATTCAATTGCATATCATTATTATTTATTATTAATTAAAAGGAAAACTGATTAGTTATTTTTTGCTTTTCCGTTGATTACTTGAAATTTTATCTTTTTTTCCAAACCATTAACACCCTTTATATCAAAGTTTCAATTTTACTTCTCACTCAGTCTCATGAGATTAACGTTAATTATTAGGATATATTTTATCTTCATCATGATCATCGTTTTTTTAATGAACAAAAACGTGTTCGTTTAGGTCAAATTATACTCGTGATTTAAGGTGAAGTGAACGGTTGATCGTACCTCGTTTTTTACGCTTATCTTGACCGCTATTATCGTTATTTGAATAATATTGTTGTTCTAATAATTAGATATTCGCTGTTTTGGAACGACAGTTAATTAATTCTAAATAGCCTTATAACTCTCTCATCTTTTTTTCTCTCAAATTTTTTGTTTATTTCTCTTTTCTCTCTCTCTCTCTCCTTGTTTTCTTTTCTGAATAATATACAGTTAATCATCAAGTAAACAAACATCATTAACTGTTGATGATAATAGTAAATACAATCTTGATAGTTTATGATAAAGTCTCTCTATTGATTAAACAACAATAACAAGAAAAAAAAAAGTTAAACATTGTGTCGTGTGTTTAGTCAATCACATCATAATTAAATGTAATTGAATTAGCGATTTATTAAAATCAATGATAGGTCATTTCTTTGAGAATGGTAAAAAAAAATGATTAAGGGTCAGTTCCATCTGACCGGTTAATTTAATTTAATTCTCGTACTTTATACTCAATTTTAAATTATCTAAATTTTTCGCCAATAATTGAAGGTTCATCTTAATGAGAAGATATTTTTGCTATCATGATTATTTGTTATTCTTTCAGAAAAAAAGGGTTTCTTACCTGTCTTTCAATAAGATTTCATGTACATACGAAACTTTAATCATTATCTCATCTATTTGATTGTATAATTGGATTAACTGTTGTCATTTGTGTTGTATCGTTGATTGTTTGAAAACTAATCGATTGAGTGGAAAATTGGATTTTTTTCTCATTATTTGCTTTAATTAATTGACATTTTATTATCCTTCGTATTGTTTGGGTTAATTGTAATTCAATAACATTGACATTGTTTTTTATTTTAGACGACAATCATCAGCAAATTGATTAACTCAATTTGATAGAAAAAAAAACTCATCCAAAATTAAGAACAAGAGAAAACTCCAATTCTCTTGAGAAATTAGCAAAAAATTAAGTCTATCATCTTTTTTTAATTTCTTTCATCAGGATAACAGTATTTTTATATTGTTGTTGATTTTTGTTGGCAATTTAAGGTTGATATTATCCAGAAAATGTTGGTGACATTAAATAATTTCAACTGTAAGAAAAAAAAAATCACTCAAAAAGTTTGACAATGTTTTCAACTTGTCAAGAGTTGATGGTTTTTTTTTCATCATCAACGTTGTTTGCATCATTTTCATCCTACAAGCAAAGTTATTATCTTTTCCCTTACTCTCACTGGCTTATTGCCATTGATTAACTGTTTATCTTTTTGTATTGTTTATATTTTCATCCTTTTCTCATCCTTCAATCATTTAACCGTTTTACTCTAATTTTTATATTAATTGAGTGGGTATTCTTACCATTTACTCATTATCTTAACCATTCTTGACAAGATTAACATGATTATCATTTAATTTTTTGTTTTCAAATTATAAGTCATCATTACCATCATGATTATCAACATGATAATTTACTTATTGGCTCAATTAAATTTGTGTTAATTGTATGATTGCATTGATCGTAAACATAACAGAAAATTGAATGATTACTGTCACAAAAAATTCACCTTATTATTTACTCATGATTTTCACCGATATTCACTTTCATTCACAGTCGACAGCTCTCTCTCTCTCTCTCCTCCCTCATCATCTTAATCTCTATCCTCCTCCTCCTCTTAATCATATTGAAATGATCATTTCTTATGTACACAACCTTAGGCTGATTTACCTTCTCTCTCTCCCTCTCTGCCTGATTCGTTTTGCTTTTGCTTTCTATCTATCACTTTTTGATTAGTTACCTTTGTTTTTTGAACGATTTTGTGTGTGTGAGCGTGCGATTGAGTGCTTAAGCTTTTGCTGACTGGAACGGCTGCCTTAGTACAACGCTCGTCGTTGTTTGAATTGCGTGCCAAGAGCATCAACACGCGTCATGAAGCAAAAAAAACCTACTTCATTAGCGGCTGTTGTTTATATCTATTATTTACTGAACAATAACTGCAAAAAAACGATTGAATTTTTTTTTCTCTCGTATTATTATTTACCTGATAATTTCGTTTCTAAATTTTAAGGATAGACAAGGAATTGAATGAAAAAAATACTCGATTTCGTAGCATGTATCATCATCTTTCATCTTCCTCATGATTGTCATCAGTCTAGAACCAGGTCTACTTTCTGGAAAAAGTTTGCATGATTCAGTTTCTCAAAAGCGATACCTAATTTCAAGGTTAACATTAGTTTATATTATTAATTATGATTTAATCTCCTCTAATCAGTTGGTTTATTTTGTTTCTGGTGTATATTTTTAGGTTTAACTGGTCTCACTCAAAGTTTACTTGATTATAATGATGATGATAGGTTTCAATGATAAATTATTACTCTAATTGTGATTGATTTTGTTTTCAAGTGCTTCAGATTGCTTATTAATCAGATAGTTGAGAGTAAAAAAGAAAATAATGAGAAAAAAAATTGGATCACTTTTGATGTAATTATATTGATAGTTAGTCGTTGATTCTGTTGTATTTATTGAACTAATAAATTACTACCTTAAATATATTTTACCATTAATTTTTTTACCTACTAATTAATGATCAATATAATTAACAAATTTCAATAACAATCATGATTAATATTTGTTATTTATTGTGAATGTATTTCTGTTTGTTTCAGAAAAATTAACTTTGTTTACTAATGAGATATTGTTATCATTAATAATGAATGGTAACAATTGTTGTTAAAAGATAAATATGATTGTAAAAATGTCTAATATATATGATAATTGTGTAAGTTTAACATTGTATCAATTTACAATTAAGTTGAATGATGTTTACACCCGATTCCATTATCCTTTTCAATGAAAACATGATTACAATCACTGACCAAAACCAACAACATTTATGATTATGAATGGAGCATTAGATTAAATTAAATTTGGTGTTTTCTTAGTTGGTGATGCTGATGAAATAATCTCAATGAAATGGATAGGGAAGTTAATGCAAATATGCATTAGAGCGAGAAAAGAGTGAACAGCTCAAAGATGAAGATGGAGATGAAGACGATGATGATGATTATGATGATGATGATGATGATGATAGAAAAAAATGAGAAATAAAGAAAAGGGAGAGGCTGAGAGAAAGTGGTAACACTAGCTAACGATGAGCAGGTTGAAAATGTATAACCTTGGAACTGAATCTATTGATAACCTAAGCCGTAATAAGATTCCCATTATTTAATTCACTTGTTCACTCTTAATCACCATTATCTTCATCATCTTCATCATCATCAATTGACCCTTTTATTATCCTTCTGTAAATAATGGCAACTGCCCAAGTAAATATCAAATTTTTAATTATTTTCAGCATATGATGATGATGATGGAGTTATAATAACACATAGATGATAAAAGGGCGAGTTGTGTATTAATAATATTTAATTGTATGTAATTCAATTGTTAAAATGACAAAATTATTCTGTCTAATTTGATTAAAATTTCTGTGTATCCTTGAATTGTTTATTATAACCGTTAATTCAGTTACAAAAATAATTGCAATCAAAGTCTCATGTATATTTACATGTATATGACTCATCATGAATTCAGGATGATTCTTACCCTTTGATTCAATTTTTTTACCACTTTATTTACAGAAAGATATCATGTTAAGGTACGACCTTGTTCATTTTCACCCAAGAAACCGGAAAAGAAACTAGATATTTACTATTACATGATATATTTATAAATATATCTCAACACAATGCTGATCACTTTGAATACTATTTAAAATTACAATGTTGTTTATGGGATAATTTAAAAGAAATGAAGATGAAAAAAAGTAAAGTCTGTAAATTGGTAAACAATGTATTCAGTTTGTTTGAATGAACAAAAACCAGAAATTGAGATTCAGCTGCATGATGATGATGAAGATGATGATAAATATCAGATTTGATTGATTAAGAAGGTCATATTTATACACATCACCTTGAAATTTTGTTCAATAAGAAGATGAAATTTAAATTGTGTTGATAGTAAACTACTAATAAGACTTTGATTATCTGTGTTACCATTGTTTTAATTGTCATTACTTTGGGACTTTATCCAAAGTAAATACCTTCATAGGAATACTTATAAGTTAACAATCTATCATGAATTTTGATGTCTTTCCATTTAATTGTATTAAGTTAATTTAACTCTCTAACACTTAATCATTTCAAGTTAGTTAACACGCATTTACATTTGTACTTATCTGTTTTCTGATTAAGTATCACGAATATTTAAACAACAACAGTAGCTTTTTAATGATAACTGTTAATAGTTAGGACGTGGTTCACGTTATACATCAACAAAACAAAGTAAATTAGATTCGTAAACTCGTCATCATCCTCATCATCATCATTATCATCTCTGGTTAACCCAAATTGAACCCAATCCATGTGATGATGATGATGATGATGATTTACAAAAAAAAAGTGTTTACTTTTACAAATAAGATGATTTGTTTTTCCGTATCATCATTAAGATGTAATAAGAAACAAATCAAACGTTTTGTATTACATTGAAATGATGATTACAATTAATTAATCCGGTTTGTTATTATCTCTTTTTTTATATATTGTTGTCTTCTTGTTAGCTGAATAAATTTTCAAAGTACATTTTCATTTTAATTGTTGTTTAGTAAATTGATGACAATTTACAGTTAATTTAAATTGGTAAGTTAATTGTACCAGCAGAGTAACTAAGTTTTTATATATTCTTAATAGTTGATGTTATTGTTAATTGTCAACTTTTTTTTTCTTTAATTCTATTGTGTATCATCAGGACAATTTGTTAACTAACTTAAATCCATTCCAATTATTTCAATTAATTGCAAGTTGTCACATTTAATTAATCTGCATTGATTTGGGTGAAACTTTTTGATTGTTGATATTAATTGAGCTTTAATTGTAATACTATTCATTTATGTGTACATATAATTTATTTGTAACAAACAATTGTGTTTATTTATAAATTGTTGTTACTTTTCTGTCTCATTATATTTGTTAGTTATTCTGAAAAAGTTAATAAGTTGATTTGATTATTTAGTTCAAGACTAATCAATTCAGTATTACCATGATTTCTCAGGGTGTTTTATCCTGTTATTTCCTGTTCTATTCATATAGATTTAGTAATTTTAACTTAATCATTACAATTAATACAAGAAACTGGGGGTACATTGACTACATATTATGTTATAGATTAAAGAGTTAAGAACACTAATCTGATAATCTGCTATCATGTTGATAAAACAACTAATAGTTACCCTGGAAACTTGATGAGCTGTTTTTTTACTCAAATACTAATAACCAATGCCGATAGTTAATTGTTGCCAGAGAATTAGAAATTTTCTTAATTATAATCACGTTAATCGTTGATGTACAATTGTACCAATGAAAAACTAATTCTGGTTATATTAACTTTGTCAAATTCATTTCCATTGAGTATGATGATCATATAAATACAACTTCCTGTCCTTCAAACAGATATTATCATCATCATCATCATCCCTAACAACTACCTTAGTATTATTCACTATTCATTGAAAGAGATTACTTTTTTTTCTGGATAACTTTTTATATATAAACTTTCAATGTTTTGGTTCCGGTTCCTTCATACAGAGTAGATAAAAACAAAGCCCATGTAATAACATTGAAACATAATGTCAAATTTTTCCGGGTTTACCTGGACACTTTGATCAGACCAATAGTTGGTTGTTTTTTGCTTTCTCCCTTAGCATTTTGTTTATCCATTGTGGTTAGACTTGTTTCAATCATCATCTCCTTTAACATCATCATTCAATCAGCATGATAAATTCATGGTGAATAGGATCTTCCTGTTTTCTTATTGTTATCATTGTCACTGTGAATCTGTGAAAGTGTTTGTATAACCGGTTAACCCAAGATTACAATTTGGTTTCATTAACAGGTAACAAAGAGATTGATTCTCTAGCAAATTATAAGGAGGTTTTAACTATTTTCTTTTTCTCACTTCTATTGATAATACTTTTCAGTGAGAATATATGATGTGTGTAAATGTTTGTGGAAGATGAAGATAAAATTAAGATGAAGATGAAGATGAAGATGAGAAGATAAAAGTAATATAATTGCTCTGTATGTGTATGTCACAAACTCTTACAAAGGTATTCATTGAACTGATAGATGATGATGATGATGATGATGATGTTTTCTTTTTCATCCTCATCCTTTTATTTTCTAAATGAAGGTTATTTTAGGTGAAATACCCTTCATTTTGCTTCATCAATATACTATTCTTGATAATAATAGTTGGACTGATGTTTATGAATGATAATAATAATGAAAAATAATCATGTTGAAATCAGAGTGTTTGTTAAGCTTTTCTAAATGTGCATCGAATCAATTGTCTATTGAATTGGTTCAATATTATATATTTTTCCTCTCAAAATGTGATCGTTGTTTCCCTTTAAATGACCAATTACAGATGATTAACTTTCCATTGCTTTTATTTATTGTATCTCGCTTTCTATTTACCTGAATGTAATTTTTGCACCGTTGATAATGAAATGTGATTTTAATCATCATCATCTGTTGATTATAGAGAAGGTTGATAAAAATATATGGATGAATTTACCTGAAAACAGGAAAATCTTGATCCGGTTTCACCATATCTTGAATCAATTATCTTTACCCAGAATTTGTCTCATTCATTTGTCTCTTTTTCTGTGTTGTTTTATTTGCCTACTGTTATTTTCCTGTCACAATTTTTGTTCCATCATGAATTTTGATTAATTGTTTACAATTAATCAAACGATCAAATTGTTTCTGTTACTAAATTAGTTGCTTTCCTTGTTTCTCGTTAAAAGAAACTGAATTGATTTATTCAACTATTTTGTTACACATTCAGCTGATTAGGTTGATTTGCTTGATCATTTTTGACAGATATCATCTTAATACTTTTTTTGATAGTTAATCAAATATTAATTCTGACACAATCATCAATAACAATCAACATTTTAAACATTACATCACAACCTTTGTACTTTGAATGTATTATGATTAAGTAATCAGACTGAATGAGATAAAACAACCAACTAATAAGATTGCAATAGTAACGGATTAAAGTGGATTTATTTTTTTCCTTCATGATCTTGATTATCTCTTGATTGTTGACAGTTAGTTATCATTGCTGTTTGCTGATCCTTTTCCCCTGAATTTAGGAATCACACTTTTTTTCTTGTTGTTGTTGTTATTATTATTGTAATATCTCAGATTATATTAGCCCTTATATTATTTTTAAACCTAAAATTTTGTGATTGTTGTTGTTGATTTACCGTTTGACTTGTTAAGCTTTTCATCTGACCTTAATCTATTGTTAGTAAGTCAATTGACCTGTCAACTTGGCACTCCTTTTAATATAACCTTTTATCAATTTCACTCTCTTTCTCATCCACCTCCTACTCCTCTCCCTCTCATCCTGTTTCTCTCTCTCTCTCTCATTGAATGGCTCACTTTAGCTACAGCTGATCTGTAAAGGGGCTCATCTTATCCAAGAACAACAATAATAATAAATAGTAAATACTTGTTAGCATAATAAGAAACGTTTTGTTTTATTTTCACTTTATCTCATCATCCTGATCATCCTCATCAATGCATAAAACAATAATTGGCAACCATCAAATTTACAATTGTTTCATCAAATTGATCAATATCAATTGAGCGTTTACATTTGATTTTAATCAATTGATTATGATTATAAACTTGATTTTATTGTTTTCTATTATTATGTTTCAATTTTACTCTCTTTTTTTTCATCCATTTAAACTTAAATTAAAGGTGAAATTATCAATTAACATAAAACATCAATTTTCAAATTGATGACAATCAAATTGTAATAATCATTATAAACCATCAATACAATTTAATCTTAATTTATTATATTGTCACAATTATTGATATTCAAATTACATACTTAAAATTAAATTATTCATTTAACAATCAACCGTTGAAAAGTTAAATTAATTATTTATCAAATGTATCAATTTAATCATTTCAATCAATGCATAATCAAATTAACCATATCTTACAATTTTTTTCTGCAATTATCCTAATAACAATAATCATTATCTGATTGATTCAATAATTTGCATGATAACCTTTAATTACCGTTATAATATCAACTCAGAACTAATTAATTCGTGGATTCATTTGTTAAGGAGATAGAGAAAAAAATAAATTGAACAATTTATGTTTCTCAATATGAATGTTTTAATGCTCAACTTAACAGTTATTATTTATTATTTATAAAACGATTCCGTATTATTATTGTAACGATAATAATACATATACGAAAAAACTATTATTGTTAAGTTTTTTGACTTTTTTTTGGGTGAAAAAAGACTTAGACTCTGTTCACTGACTATGGATGAATGGGTTTACTTTTACATACGATGATTAAAAAAGGTTTTCATGATTATCTGAATCAGTTGAGTTTTCAGGTTCCAAGTTTTTTTCCTGAATGTTTTCACTAATAAGAATCAAGCAATAAATGTATATGTTTCCATTGATTATTATTATGTTGATCTAGTTACTTTCCTTTTGCTATTTTCCTCATCATCACTTTCACAATTACATCAATATGATTTGAATGTAAAAGATGATCTTCTTTCAACCATATACAACAATCATCAGAAACTTGATTCACAAATTGTTGCAAGTTGATTATTGATTCATAACCTTTTCTTTGACACTTTTTTTTACGCAAAGAAAATGTTGATAATAATTATCCCTTCTGATTATTATTAAGATGACAATTTTTACTTTATATTTTGCTGTTATGTGAATGATGAGGCTATGAGAGGTTCACTATTTCTCAATATCAATTGATACAATCACGGTGATGATGATGATAAAGTTAATCGGAATAACGTTAATCTTTTCATCGTGAAAAAAAGTCATCTTCTTGATGTCTTCAGGGTTAATTGTTGGCACAGTGACATTCACAATCTATTAACGGTTATGTGTTTTTTTGATAGTGGACAAAGTTAATTGCAATCAAATTGTATATCAAAATAATGACCTCGCTGTAGGCTGATGTATCTCTCTCCTTTTAAACGTAGGCTTTTTTCACTAATTTCACTAATTTCATTAATAGCCTTTGGCTACAATTACAATTAACATCGAGCTAATCAACTAACTGTAATATAATCTGCTTTTCCAATTCATTGATCATCTTGATGACTAATTTTAATTCAATCCAATTTTAACAATCATCATTATTATTACACTAAAAATGTTTCATTAATCAGTTTCATCTTGGATAATTTTTCTTAATCATATTGAATCAAACGAAAACTATTTTAATTATTATTAGATAACTCTAGGAGCTTTCTAATTAACAATTTAACACAAAATTAACTTAATCAGGTTTTCTCACGCTTTATATTAGTGGTTAATTGTAATTTAATTGTTTAATCAATCAGAGTGATTTAGACGGAAAATGTGTAACTACCTTTTACCTTATATGAAAATTATTATTATCCAAATACAAGTAAATATCTTATTAAGTTTACTTGATAATATTAATGAGAATTTTTTTTTCTTCTTCTCTATTGATTGATTTATTTATTTCTACAGGAAATCGACTAAATTAACAAAACCATCGAGTTTCAAAAGTAATCGTAATGGTATCGAAAAGAGTATCAAAAGTTTACAAACTTTAAAACTAATTGTGGGTAAAACAAATTATTTACCTCCATTGGGACGAACAGGTCGTAAGCAAACACCTACTGTGACCGCACAGTTTCAACAATCGTTAAATCAACTAATGGAAACACTTAACCAGGCCAATCCTTTTTTCGTTCGTTGTATTAAATCAAATGCCGACAAGATACCTTACCATTTTGACGATATGCTGGTCTTGGTACAGTTACGTTATACTGGGATGCTGGAAACGGTCACAATCCGTCAATCAGGTTACTCTGTTCGTCTCTCTTTTGATGAATTTATCACTCATTACCGGATATTGTTACCAAAAGGATTACTTAGTTCACAAGCGGATGTAAGACATTTTCTTGAACGTATGAATCTCAATAGGGATAATTATCAAATAGGGAAGACAAAAATTTTCATGCGGGAAAGTGAGAAACTTGCTCTAGATGATATGCTCCATCAAGAGATATTAAGGCGTATTATTGTCCTACAACGATGGGTTCGAACATGGATAACCCGGAAACGTTTCCAGCAAATGAGACAAGCATCAGTTGTCCTTCAAACTCACGTACGCCGTTGGCTTGCCCAGCAAAGATTAAATCAACTTAAATGGATTGCCCACCTTGAACATCTTGCGGCCACAATAATCCAACGGAATTGGAGGTGTTATCATGCAAGACAATGTTTCTTAAAGTTACGTCGAGCCACAGTTATGTTTCAAAGTTATGCTCGAGGATTTATCACCCGTAGGAAATACAATTCAGACTATTTGGATCAGCGAGGAAGGAAAAATAGTAATAGTCAATCTCACTCGTATTCTCATTCACATGGAATTTCATCTTCTCTTTATGGATCAGGAGGTCAAGATAGTCATTCATCGCATTCGGATGAAGCCTTCTTGTCAAAAGGCTCCAGTCAAGAGGAACTTGAAGTTGATCGATCCATGACAATTAATTCTCATCAACATCGATATCTTTCTCATTTATCATCATCATCATCATCATCGATGGCGAGACATCCATCGACCGGGAAAAGTCTTGCCAAGAAACAACATTCAAAAGATTCAGAGGATAGTTCAGGTATCCATGAAGACTCCGAGCCAGAAAGTTTCCATGTCGGTGAAAATAGTTATTTACCTTCAATGACAAACACCAAAAGTAGTAATAATACCAATACAACAAAGACCACCGGTAATATCAGAAATCGTAGCTCAGGTGATGAACCACCACCTCCATTACCACCACGTAGACAACCACCATTACCATTGACAATTCCTTCTTCAACAACGGAACATCGTACTTATGCTGAGCGACCTCATCATTTTCTATCCTCCTCTTACAATAGTTCATTGATAACCTCATCTCAACAACCCTCATCTCTTCCACCAGTACCTACATCAATGAGTCAATTTTCACCCCACCTTTCAGGATCATCGCCACCACAATCATTACAACCAATTGTTTCACCTTCATCGACCACCTCTCCAACAACACCACCCTCACCACAACCTCTTAAATCGTTACAACCTAATCAAATACCTTTACCCAGCGATAAATATAATTTACCTTCACCAACTGAAGATCTTGACGATAAACCTCGCCTTGATAGAAGACGAAGTCGACCTTTCCGTAAAGTTTCACTTAAACGATCAAAATCCAATAAAAGTCCAACCAGTCCAATTGCATCAGAGACCATCGGAGGTCACGAAAAGGTTGCCAAAACGCCATCCGAAGCGGATATAACAATCGTTAAGAAACCAATTAAAGAAATGATTTCAGAACCTTGTATTCCCACCTCACCATCCAAGATTCATCCACCGGATTCATTTTTATCTTCATCGGAAAGCGGAAGTACCACCGGTACAAGAGATCAAAAGGGAGCATTTCAAAAGGCAAAGAAACACATTCGAACCTTTATCATCGGCAGTAGTTCAAGTAAAACAGAGAAAAAGTCTAAAGCAGAGGGAGCAAGTCACTCATGGGAACCTGAGAATCAATCATCACTATATCCACCCGAAGAGAGCCATAATAATCAAATAATACTTTCTAGTCAAATAAAATCCAAGAAGTCAAAACCTTCGCCACTTTATTCATCTCTGTTGCCAACCAGTATCTTAACATCATCGACAACTTCAACTCCATCACCACCAACAACCGCTACTCCATCATCAACATGCTCAACCAATACACCCTCCAGTGAGCCTTTATCAGGACCTCATTTTAGCTCAATCACTCGACATAATTTGAAAAGTGCTCTCTCTTTTCAAAAAAGTGATATTTGTGCTCTCTGTGAAAAAGCAATGCTACAAGGATTATCATCAACCCTTCAGAAACAACAAAACCACCATCAACAGAAACAACAACAGAAACAACAACAACAACAACATCAAAAGCAACAAACGGGTAATAGTGGTTTTCGCTGTGGTGAATGCTCCCTTCTCTTTCATACAACTTGCCTCTCCAATGCCAATTCAGTTCCATGTATCGATAAAAGTAAATTAGCTCTTTTTTCATCTTCCAAAATCACTGTGGCTCATAATCCATCTCGTCCACCTCGAAATAAAACTCGCGGCAAAGGATCTAAAAACTATGGTGATCCAGGTAAAGAGAATCTCTCTCTTTCACCTAAACATGATTCAATGTCAATTTCAACTGGATCCTCTGTGAGTGGAAGTGGTAACACCAATGGAGGAGGATCAAATTCATCATCCTCTTGGAATGTCACTCGAACAACAGAATTCATCGATCCAAAGGATATCCTTATAACTGACGTAACTGAACTTCATTATATGGAAATTTTCATAAATAATAAAATCATGGCCATGGAAGAATCTAAGAAAAATTGTTCTAAAGAGTCAATGGTTGACGTAGTCTTCAAAATTGCTCTGAAAGAGTTTAAATCTAACCTTTTATCAACCTATTCGGTGGCCGCAGCCCAAGATGGTCAGCTTCATATCGCTTATAAAAATTTGATTGACCATTTTGGTCAAGTTATTATGAACGTTTGCCAAAAAGAAAATACCTGGAAATCATTTCCAGTTATCATGGGTGTAAATGCATTCCGAGGTTTTCTAGATGAGTTTCGTAATTTGGGTGCAAAAGTGCCACCCGAAGACGCTAAACAAAAATCTAAACGACGAAAACGTGGTAACAATGGTGGTGGAAACAATATTGGCGGTGGTAATAATAATAACTCAAATAAAAAGAAAGAATCTCGAGAAGAGTTTATTATCAAATGTGATCATAAGTTTATCTCAATGATGGCCAATATACCAACGGTGTGTGAAGTTTGCTCCACCCTTATGTGGTTAACGGAAAAAATTTGGGTCTGTCAAGGGTGTAAATTTACCTGTCATAAAAAGTGTACCTCAAAGGTGACCGTTTCCTGTCGGGATAAGACTCTCCTTCAACAGGGTAAAAAGTTATTCGGTGCTCCTTTGGAAAGATTGGTTTCTGATGAGATTAGGATACCAACGATATTGGAAAATTTGATAACTGCCATTGAATTACGTGGCCTGTACACTGAGGGTATTTACCGAAAATCGGGAACAACGTCAAAAATAAACGAGCTTAAGGCAAAATTAGAGGAAAACATTGAAAGTGTTGACCTGGATTCTTATTCGGTTCACGTTTTAACCGCTGTATTAAAATCATTTTTCCGAGAAATGGCCAACCCTTTAATGACCTATCAACTTTACGATGATTTCCTTTGGACAACTGCAATTTCCGATCCAGCAGAACGAATTCAAGCAATTTACTCTCACATAGCTAAGCTTCCCCGTGCCAATTACGATGTATTGGAGAGACTTTTCTTCCACTTGGCCAGGGTGGCCCAACAAGAAGCTGCTAACCGTATGAATGCTAACAGTTTGGCGATTGTTTTTGCACCCTGTATATTAAGAACCGATAAATTAATGCAAATGCAAGATAAACTTAGTGACATTAGTAAGCAAACAATGTAAGTTTGTTTTGGTTTTAACCCTTTTCAACAATCAACTTAATTAGATGTTTCAAATTTAATGATTTGTATATTTTATTTTTAATTGTTAATCTCTTAGATGTATTGAGACAATTATCAATGATCGATTGAAGCAAGTCAAAGATACCTTGGCGGACATTGAAATGTTGGACAGCGTTTATCATACAACCTCTTCTCGGCTTAGCTCATTAAAAATGTCAAAGGTGTGTTTCGTAGGAGTTTCTTACCACATTTAACTTTACACTAATTTAAATTAACGCAATGATTGATTGTTAATTGTAATCTATTTTTTGTTCTATATTATTTTTCTTTGCCTTCATTTTAGTCTCAACTTAATCGTGATAATGCAATCCAAGCTAGTCGAAGCTCTCAGCAGGACGAAGAAGAAGTTCTCACTCAACAAATTGACCATCTACGAAATGAAAAGTATGTTGACTTGATTGAGAATTAATTTCCTAATAATTGAATTATCCTAATTGTTGTTTTGTTTGATTTTTCAACAGAGCTCATCTTACCAATATTTTACCAACATTTAACTTGGTCTCTGCTGGATCCGATGAAGACTTACTCAGCACAGGAACGGAACTTGAAAGCTCCCTTGGAACTAGTTTGGATGAAGTTAGTCTTTATTCAAATGCTAAAACGCCAACCAGTTTAAGGAGCAACCAGAATTGTGATTTACCATGTAAATTAATTTCTCTCTAAATCACCAAGATTTTAAGTCTTTTTTTTCAATCTAAATACTAATTTTTTCTTCTTCTTTCCTTTCTGTTCACCTTTAGCTTTACCATCCATTCAACAATCCGTTAATCTTAATCATCTAACCAAAAGCCGAGTTTCTCAAGCTCCTCAGAATAGGCGATTACCGTCAAGATTTTCTAAGCCCATTCGTGGAGGACCTTTACCGCGATTAGGAAGATCACCTGTGCGACGACGAAGGGACCAAACAAAAGATTCTCAACGTGAAGGAATGAGAGTTTATCGAAATGACGATAACTCTGTTCGTGTTTAAAAAAAATCCCCTGAAGGAGACAAAAGTTGAAATCAAACTGCTTTTACACTTTCTATCCTCATTCTAATCTTCCCCGAACTGTTATTAAATTAATCATAGTTAAAACAGAACCAAATGTCATCGAGATAATACAAGCCGACAAAACATGGATTATAATTAATCTCAACCGATTCCTTCCATAGAAAAGCCATCCAACAATAACCTACTAAATTCTGATACCCAATATAAGAGATATTTATAATTAACCAATACGAAATCAAAATGATCTAAAAAAATGCAACCAATTAACACTAATCCACAATAGGACATGAAGATTCATTACCAAAATCAATTTACAGTACCAACCAGTTACATTATTATCTCATTAGGCCTAAGCTGTTGATCCATACATCGATTAAGGCCACACGATATAAAACTCACTCTCACTCTGCTCAGATAAATAATATGATCATCACTGTCAGATGATTACTCGCCCATTTAGTTTCATATTTTTTTACTCTGTCACAAAAGCCATTCAACTGAAAAGTACTTTGTTTTGTATCTAAATTAACACTAAACCAATTCAAGTCCTCCATCGATCTACTTACAGCTCATCCGATAAACAACAACGATAATAATCAACAATCAAGCAAGAAAACAACAAAAATATACATGGATTGATCTCGACTTTGGAAAATTGCTGTTAACCATTTAGTTTTATAGCCTCTTGTTATTTTCTTGTTGATTAACTGATCATCTCAAGCAAAGTGGGTTGATTATCTTCATCATCTCAATACCTCTTAATCTTAAATCACCACCACCACCACCAATACCTGACTTTGCAAGGACCAATATCAAGGCGGAAAATTAAAGCATTTGATTCAATTGATTTATCATCATCTCTTTGTTTCCATAAAGTCTTGAAACATCATCTTTAAAGCTCATCTTCATCTTCTAAACTTTTCATTTCTCTTTCGTTAATTTAGTGAATCTATTGTCAATCTCGGCCATTTTTCATTCTCATCTCAAATTTCATTCTTTTTTTGTAATTCCACCTAAAATTTGCTCTCTCACTTTCTCATCCTCTTTCTCCCTTTTGTATGCTTAGTTTCTCTGTTTACTTTTTCTCATCTTTCCTTCATCTTCTCTGTATTTTCCTTTTGTGTCTCCCTCTCTTCCCTTTTCATCATCACAATCTTCAGTATCTCTATTTCAAATGTGACACTTGAGGAAAATGCAACCGACCAGAGACTGAATCAACTTTTCGGACACTGGTCAAGATATACAACAAAGTGCAAGACGCTTATGGTAAAAAACTATAAATATATAAAAATGATAATATTAAATTGGGAAGCATCTTCATCACCAAGCCTTACACCTTTCATCATCTTCACCACCACCACAAGACCCACAAAATAGACACAAGCACCAAGCTGCTTAATTAGTAGTTTATTTTATTATGTGATCATTACAATTAACCGTTTTTTTGATTGATCTGATTTTGTTAGAATTGATTATTTAACTTATCATATTCAAGAAAACAGTATATTCAAATTGTTGTTGTTTATGAACCTTTAAAATGTAATTTGAGATTATATTTTGTCAACAATTAACGTAATCCAACAACAGGAATCACCATGAAAAACAACAACAATTAACTTGAAAACAAAAACCAATCAATATTATTAATAATGTAATTTAAATTTGCAAGTCGCCAGCAACAATTTAAAAATCATGTTTAAATATTTAAACTTAAACTTTGGCCAATTAAAATTATATTTAATTATTTATCATTGATCAGAATATTTCAAATTATTTCAATCAACATGAATACTGAGCAATTAAACTTAATTGTTTGAGTTTTTTTCTCCATTATAATTACAATTTTCTTAATTGTCTCCACAACAATTATGATCTTAAACAATTTTTTTTCTCCAAGTTAATTGTTATAATTAATTATCTCAATAGACCGAATCAAAAGTCAAACATCAAGTTCAAGTTTACAATTAAATGATAATTTTAATTACTAATTATGATTAATTTGAATCACAATTAACTAAGAATAGAAATTAATTAAGATTGAAAGTGAACTGATTTTGTTTTAATGCGAAATTTGATCTTAAATTAAATTGTCCATTTGAATTAATACTAAAGTTCAATGAAACTTAAACCAAGAACAATTAGTTGATTGTTTAATTGGCAATTAATTGTTCCAATGATTAGAATTGATTTTTTCCAACAAAAACTATTTTAAATATCTATTCAAATTCAATCAATAATAAATACAATAACAATTAAATTGTTAAACCTTAAACATTGGCACCTAATGACAATCAAAGTTAATCAACTTTGACAATTAAGTTGATGAATAACAACAAGAACAACAATCAAATTAAATTGTTTCTAATTAAAACAAAACGATTAACTTGAAGCCAAAATCCATCACAACAGATTAGTGATTGTAATTGAAACAATCAACATCCAGGAGTTACAATTAGTAAACAATCAAGTTTAAAAATAACAACCAATCAACGTAATCAAATCAATTTTAATTGCGAAAACTTTAATTGTCAACCAATAGGTGCCAGTAATCAAATCGCAAGTGAAGTTAAAAGTTTGCCATTGAAATAGCAAGATATTAGATGGCGTTGGATGGGAAAGGATGATAATGATGAAGAGGAAGATGAGGATGATGAAGATGATGAAGATGAGGATGCGGATGATAAAGGAGGAGGTGAATTAGTGAGCATGATTGGGATACTATGTTGATATCATCAACTCTCCGGAGTTTAAATTGTATTCTGTAACCGGTAAGAAGAGGAAAACAAGAAAAAAAAAGATCTGAAAGAGAGGCGAAAAGAAAGAGAAAAGAAGATGATGATGAGAAGATGAGAAGATGAGAGAGAGGAAAGAATGATGTTCAACTTGCCCTGGGGCAATCTCACGGTGATTCTGTCTTCCATTTTGATTACATCAACCTGATCATCATCATCATCACCACAACAACAACATCACAACAACTAAATTCAAAATCTTTTCACTTTTCACTCGTTTGTTTTATTATTATTGTTTCCAATGGTTAATTTAGCTCTATCTAGTTGATTGTTGGTGAGAAAATCACAATTAACAGTGATTGTTAATTGTTTCACCATTGTATTGGAAAACTATTAACCCTCATCATCATCATTAACTTGAACAATTAATTAATTTTGCTTCATCATCTTTGTTTAGTTGATTGTTGTGTTTACCTTGATTTCTTGTTGATTTAATTTGCTCTTGATTGTGATGATTGTCCAAATGTGTTTTAATTACACTCAACCTAATTGTTGGTGATTGTTTATCGTTAAATCAACAGAAATTAAAATAAACATTAACATTTATTTCTTGATTACTTTTTTAAACTTTGATTAAGTTTTGTTTTTCTTCAAATAATTTATTTTAATTACTAATCAACTTAGTCCATTTTCTGTGCTACTGCTGCTAATCAGTTGATTGTGCTAATTGTTACTCTTGATTGTCAACTACAATTTTTCAATATTTGCTTAATTTGATTGTTATATTACAAGTTTGCCTTTATTATTATTTAATCATCAACAATTAACAACTAAAAGTTAAGGAGGATAAGTGATTGGATTAAGTTCAAACAATTGTGACAACAAAGGAAATCAATTGATCAACAGGTAAGTCTAATCATTAATTGATTACTAATAAACTAATCACAATTGAAGATTGTAATTGTTTCGTAAATGTAACAAATCAATTATATGACAAAAATGAGTTAACGATTAAAATTGATTGTCAATTAACATCAAATCAAAATGATCAACATTGTCAACGATAAAAACACAACAACAACTTTATTTGACTTTGTCTTATATTGAGATTGGTGAATTGCTACTTCCAACAATTAAGGTGTAACTAGTTAATCAGTTAATTGTTGTTCATCTTAAATTTTGAAATTGTAATCACAATTGAATTAAAAGTCAATCGTTAATATTAACCAACGAAATGAAAACGATGATAACGAAATCAGAGTAACAACAATGAAAAAGTTGTCACCAAGTTTTAGTTTTCACCGATCATGACAAAAATTCAATCACAATAACAGTTAATCAGTATCGATAATGAATAACAATCAACTGAATAATTATCTTGTTGACATGATGATAATATTAATTAGCGATAATAATATTATCAATGTTGATGGAAAAATATTCATCAAGTGAGTCTATTTTTCTTGGCAAACATGATAATCGTTATTGAAAACAAGAATTGAAATTGAATTTAACCAACGATCATGATGAAGATGATAAATATAATGATGATGATAAAAGAAGATGTTAAATTTATCATCATTATCATCATCACAATTGGCAAATGATGATGAACATTTTGAATTTAAGTTGTTGTATTGGGTTTTGTTGTGTTTCATTTTTAATACTATTACATCAATACTTTTGCTTTCCTCATCTTCATCTTCATCCTCCTCCTCACCATCATCATCATCTTTATCTTTATCTTCATTCATCTTCATCAGTAAAAAAAGCAATTGCAATTGACAGGGATGATGATGAAGACGATGATGAGGATGAAAAAAAAGCGAATCAAAATAACAGACAAAAGATTTGATTCCTTTTCATTTCTCTTTCTTTTCTTACTCTCTCATCTTCAATCCTCATCATCTTAACCAATAACAACATTGAATGTTTTGAATGAAGATGAGGATGAAGATGATGGAGATGATGATGCGGATGATGATGATGATGATGATCAAGGTAAAATATATTTAAGTGTGAAGACCAGTTTCTTGTTCATGATACAGAAAAAAAAATGAGGAAGTTTTTTTTTCTATCAGAATTTTTTCCTCTCTCATTCAGTTTCTTTCATGATAATGAATAAGACTTGATGATGATGATGATAATTTGTTACTATCATTATAAACCCACCCAGGGAATTGAGATTTGATATAACTTTTTGATTATAAACTAAATCAATTGATTGCCAATTGATTGTGATTACTATCAAACATGATTTCCTTTTCTGGAGAGTTAATTTTTTTTTGGTTACTTCACCTAATCAACTTAATCGGCAACCTAATTAACTATTACTTTTTAATGATTTACTTTTGAGAGGCTAATTGTAAATTATTGTATTCTAATTGTACATGATGATAAATTGTAATTACTTTCGTTAATCTCGTATTACAATTGAAAACTTGGATTGAATTATCATCAACTAATTACCATGATTGTGATTAATTTGAAATGCACAATTGACAATACAAACTTTTCCCATATTCATCAAAATATTAATAATCGTTAACAATTTAATGTTATCATCACAATTAAGTTTTTTTCCTCTTTCAATAATCAACATCCTGACAATTTAACTTACAATCAATTATCAATCACCAGGGTAACAATTAACAAAAATGAGTATAATTTATTAGTAATTTTAGAGAGAGAGAAAAAAATTTAATTAATCAAAATTGAAGAGAAGAGGAAAAAAGTTAATTGTAATCAACATGAAATCCTAATTGATTCATTTACCTTTGGATATAATAAATTAAATATTTTACAATTAATTTAATCCTGTTGTGAATAATTAAATTGTCCCTTCCACCTAACAACATGATTAACATGATGATATTGATCATGTAAATTAGTAATTAGTGTTAATCATGATCAAGTATTTAATGGTAACCATGACACGAGTGAATTTTAAATTACCAGAATTAAACTTAATCGTAAATCATTTGAAAGTAAAACTTATCACGATTGAGGGATTGACCATTGGTCAATATTTCACCTTAATTATTACAATTAAACATGATTCATTACGATCCAGCAAATCGTCACAATCAATTGATTGATTTTATATTGATTACCCTTTGATTGTAATCATTTCATCATCTCATGGAAGAGGAAATGAGAAAGTGATAATCTGAGATTCTCAGATTCTGAGTAATATAAAATATATTTATTTCCCACTCGGTGGAAATTGATTTTCATGATGATTTGGGAATCATCATGTTACTCATTTAATTGCCATCGATTCTGGAAGATAATTTAATTTACCTTTTCTTTTTTCTTTATTATCAATCAACATGATTAGATATTGTTATTAGTTAATAAGAAATAATTTCATGATATTGCTACTTAATCATCTTACTCCTTCAGGGCAATTTAATCAAGATAATTACTTAATCAATGATAATAATTACTATTTTTTTGTGTCAATAATTTTACCAATTTGAATTAATATATAAATACAATACATAATATCATTTCCAATCGTGATGAGAAACAATTAACCGTAACAATTAAAGATAATCAAACCTAATTGTCTCCAAGTATATTAATACATTGAAATAACAAAGTCCATGTTAATCATCATCAGTGATTGTAATTAGTGGGTGGGGTTGATTATATACTCTGAAATTATCACAACTAATTAGTGATGATAATAATAATTCAATTCTCTTCCCAACTGAATTAAATTTAATCTTCATGATTGATATTCAGTAATTGAATTGAGAATATGTATTTTTTAATGGAAATGATAATCTTGAGTTGATAGGATTTCGTTTCTGAACTTTTTGTTTTATTCCCAATACTCACTCACTTACTCTCTCTCTCTCTCATTGAATTTAATATGATAAAAAATAAACCTCAAGGCTTATTGATCATCTATATTTTCATTCATATTTACATGAAATTGCTCAGCTTATTATCTTGATGATTCATGAAACTTTCCTTCTTGTTGTATTATAATGAACTTGAAATAAGATGATGAACTTTTTTTTCTGGTTACAATGATAATTTGATAATTTGTGTTAATCATGAGATTGTCAATCAACTAGTTGAGTTCTGACAGATTATTATATAAGTTGAGTTGTATTCTTATGAGTCAGCGTTTTGAATGAGAGAGAAAAGTTATCATGGAAGAGAGAAAATGAAAAAAAAAGTTCTAATGGAATTTTATTCAATGGAAGATGGAAAATTCTGTCAGAACTTTTCTTGGGAATGATTTTTACATTCTCATTTACATTATCATGTATTATTAACATGGAGAAAAAAAGAAAGAAGAACAAATTTTCTCTCAAGTTCTGTGTTCATTCAGATTCCATGTTGTTTACATTTTGCTTTCTCTTTACTTTTTTTTTCCTTATCATAATAATATATCAGAACTTTTTTGCTATTTCGAAAATATTTTTCTCTCTTTCCACCTTTCAGAACAAAGAAGAGGAAAATATATAAGAGTAACAACCGATAACAAACTTCAACTCGAAAGACTCGAAGTAATTTCACCAATAATAATAATATTCAGATTCTTTTACATGAGAATCGTGAATATACCAAAAGCCTTTAGATTGTGATTCTATTTTCAGGAAGATCATTTTATTTGGAATTGAATTTATCTCCTTATATTATCCTCCTTTGGGTGTTATAACTAATTTCATATGTTTCCAATTCTAGATGAGACATAAATATAAATATCCATGAGTTGTTGATATAAACCCTCAATTCACCCCTGAAGGCTTCATGAAAACATGACAATAATCATTGGTAACACTTAGGAACCAGGAAATCGCATCTTAAACTTACCTGGTTGTGTTTTTTTCACAGGTAAAAATAACAACGACAACAATAAGACTATTCAAGTTGAGTTGATTTTCCCCTGAAATTAATAAAAAATAACTAGAAAAACGATTCAATCTAATTGACAATTTAACTAAGATGAAACCGATATCGAACTCGAGAGTTAGAACTTTTTTTTTCTTTGTCCAATTCAAATTTCGATGGGTTGATTTTTCAATTGTATCTTCTGAACCTTGTTGATTATAGACAATCAGCTTGATTAGTCTGATGATGTCAAAATAATTATCCTTTTAATTAAAACAAAAAAAACAGACAGGTAACCAATTGAATGATTAGTTAATCATTGATCCAACGGTTTGATGACTATGAGAGTTAATTAACCATGAAATTAAATACTAACTGTTTGATCACATTGATTCCCGATCCAAGTGAACAATTTTTTTCCTCCTCATCTTAATTGTAAATAATACTAATTGTCAACACTGAAAACGAGCAATTAAAAAGTTTCTATTGATCAAAGTTCACAACTTGATTGTAAATAAAACTTAATTGTTAATGACATTGATGATGATAATAAAAAAAGAGGAAGTAATTAGATTAAAATAAAATACAAACAATCAACTAGGTAGATTAACTAACCAACTAAATGGTTAATTAAGTCTATCACAATTAAAATTGATTAGTTTTCAGTCTATCAAAACAATTATTAGACACAAACTGAGATATTCAGTTGTAATTATTGTTTCTCAATTGATTGGTTCAAGTTAATCAAGCTAATTGTTAGTCAATTGTTATCCGAAAATTGAATCATCACCATGCTGATTGATTGTGAGCTCGTTTTAATTACTCAAGAACAATATAACTTAATTATCTTGTTTGTTTTTTAAACAAGAATGAGAAAAGTTAATTACAATTTTGATGCAAGTCAATTTGAAGACTAATTTTAAAATGAATCTTAAACCAACCGGCGAGGAGGAACAAGAGGAAACGGAAATGATGAAATGATGTCTCTTAATCTATTTACTTTTATCCACCTCCCACTCATCCACTCCCACTTCTCATCGTATTATCCTGTTAGT